TGTCTGGCAGGGAGCTGGGAGGGAGCAAAAACGTGGACATGTCTGGCAGGGAGCTGGGAGGGAGCAAAAACGTGGACCCCCTCTGGGTCCCCGAGGACCATTTTGGGAAACGCTGAGCGATAGTGTTGTGATTTTAATACGCTTTTGGGAATGGCTATTTAGATCTGCAAGCAACGTTTGGTATTTTAAAACATTGAATGAAAAGGAATTGAAATTTTTACTGAAATTATTACATTTGCAAGGTTTTGCACATGGGTTAGACAAACTTGTGCTAAGAAAAAATGTCTTTGCTTTTAAAAACTAGTATGTTTAAAATTGTTTTTATGCATTTTTAAAATTTCCACTGTATATTTTATAAAATGCACTCTTTACAGCTGATATGAATGTTTCTGTTCTATATATAAATATATAAATATATACATACATGTATATAAACAGCTTAGGGAATATCTTATAAGGAATTGAATTAAATGCATACCAAATACAATTCTGATGTATTTTGAATGCTTGTGTTCTTTGCAAATGCACCTGTATTAATTTAGGTACAGTCAGGTACTCAGTCAAAAAGCAGTAATTTCATTTTCCAATTTAATGCCACAGAACAAATCATTAAAGAGCGTAGAAAATGCACCTAAACACACAGCTATTATATGACCTGTGAGCACAAAATGCTCATCTGACTTCCCGTACAGGGTCTAGGGGCAGGTGGGCTGGACCAATCCCAGACAGCATAGGTCAGAAGGCAGGGAAACACCATTACACAGGATGAGGGGTGTATGTAGGGGCAGGGTCATTGGCCCCGGCTGAAAACTCTGTGTTATACAGATACTGCTTCAGGCAGAACTTTCTGGAAGGTGCCAGAACATTCTCGATACTTGTACAGTACATAGGGATGAGCTGCCTTTCAGCATATATATGGTTATGGAATTATGGAATACATACACACAGACACACACACACTTGGCATACCTATCTAAATGGGGAATCCTCATTCATTTCCATGGGCAAAACTGTAATCCCTACATGACAGCCTTAACCCCTACTCTGTCCTAACCTTAATCATAAGTAACTAAAAATACAAGACTTTAGACATTTTAGTTTTTTGATCGCATTTACACAATTTTTGTAGAATTGAGTTTGACTGATAATATGGTCCCCGCAATATCAATGCAATGTAATATATACATAACCCACCCACCCACACACACACACACACACACACACACATGTTGGGTAAACATATCTTTATGCGGACCAGTCATTCATTTCTGTGGGAAAAATGCTAACGCTTACTATGACAACCTTAAGCCCTACCCAGCCCTAACTATAACTATAAGTAACCAAGCAAAATACAAGAGTTTTTGCATTTTTATTTTTTTTTCATTGCAGTAACAGATTTTTATTAAATTGAGAATGGGTATTCATCACATTGTGGGGACATTGTGTCCCCATAAGGTAAGGTATACCCGCTCACACACACACACACACACACACACACACACACACACACACGTGTAGCTGGGGTAGTGGTGCTTTCGATCCCCCCCACACTTCATTTTTTGTCATATTGCATGCTAAATATTTCTGACTCAGGAGACAGTGCTGTCTGGGGTGAGTCATACAAGGGGGTGTACATCTCCTTTTTGTCCCTGTGGTCTGCCCCCCCCCCCCACACCAAGCAGTCCTCCTACCACCGTTGAATATATTATAGCTGTCATGACTTGGATTCAGTGCTTACAGGTTAAAACCATTTATTCGCCGTCATTGGCGTGATCTGTGACAAAACACTTGTACATTGCATTTAAACTGCTGGGTTGTCATTGGTTACCTTTGCCGCCTGTGAACTTTCTGTTTAACTGGCAGGTTGTTGGAAGACCACTGGTGTTTGTATGGATGGATGTTTATATTTTAATTTTTTTTCTTGGGCCCTTTTGGACCAAGTTGTCATTTCGGGGGGGGGGAGGCAGTCTGCACTACACACACACAATATGGGTAATTTAGAGAAGCCAATTTACTGAGCCGAATAAACACAGAGCCCAATACTATGGGCACGGAATATATACAAACGCATGAAAATGAATTGAAACATTATACTTTTTCATCAGCATGAACGTGGCATTGAGTGGATCTTAAACACCAAAACATTTATTTCAATGCTACTGAATACCTCAGTCCACAGCCTTCACTATGGTGAAGGATTGGCTCGTTGCAATTTTACTGGTAACACCAGCGTGTTCATTCTCATAGCATCTGCGCAGTGATACGACTAGTGTGTGGAGTTCGGTAGAAGAAAATAGTTCCTACATCAAACTGCTCACTACAAAGTCTGGATTATCATGAGTAACCAGATCATGGTTTTTGGATAGAGACATTACTGTTAGATTTTTCAAATGTATTTTTATGGCGCTTTAATCACCACAGAAAGAATGCCATCACTGGGTCTCTGACCAAGACCCTTAACCCCAACTGGCTCCAGGGGGACCGTCCCTGAATTTAGAAAAATGGAAGCCGCTCTGGATAAGAGCGTCTGCTAAATGCTGTAAATGTAAATGTACCTTGTTAATGCAAATAGCAAAATTCACATGCAGCACACAGACAGAGACAAGGTGCAGTTGCTGTTTCACTAAGTGTTGTCCATTTACAGCCAGTAACTGTAAGAAATACAGCTGGGCTATTGATCATGAGGTGCACACACAACCATTGAAATATTCATTAACAATCCAACCGTAAATAAATCTGAAAAATGGGTGTTGCTTGCTTTTGTTGAAATATATGGAAAACTGAATAAAGTTAATTTTACCGCGGTGCCAGTGTTAAGGTTCTAACCCGAACCCCCTTTCCGGTACACCTCCCTGCTAGTTTTGATTGATGATATATACATGTATGGAAATGGAATTTCAACACTGCGGTAGAGTTAATTTTATATGCATTTTTCCGGCTGTAATATCTTTCAATGTGTTTTTTAAAATATATATTTCAACGTTTGTCTGCGCACTTAATGTTCAACAGCCCATCTTTCTTGCTTAAAGTCACTGGCGGTGAATGAGAATAAATAAATGAGTATAAAAACACATAATATGAACACATGGTAGTATGCATTGTCCCTCATAATTTAATGCATAAAGCACACTTAACAGGACATGTCTGTATCACTTAGGTTTATACTTATTAGTCGAAAAATAGGCCAAAATTCCATCTTTTGTATTTCCAACGGACACAGCACAGTTATTAATGTATTGCGAGATCTCACAAATGTTTTGCAAGATTTTGCAATCGTGTTTTTTGCAGAATCTCGCAATGTTTATCTTTTTTTTTTTCTCCCATGTCCCCTCCCAGGCTCCGTAAAACACAGACTCGGAACACCAAGGGAAAAAATATTAATCTTTATCAACTAACAAATTTTACCATACATTGTTCAAAATAGGTTTAGAAGCATATTGTAAATTCGGGAATCGTGAACCTCTTGAGTACAACATTGCTTCATTCAAGCAACAATGACTTTACACTTTTCACAACTTGTGAAAAATAGTCATTACACAAGATCTAAATGCATCAAAAACTAGAACCTCCACTCTCATGCATGTAGCTACATAGCATGGAGTTCTTTCCTCACAATGACCATGCAACAGAAACTAATTCTGTAATAAGGAATCTCTGAACACTCCAAACTTACAAAACAGTTTATAGGATGAATGTACAGAGAAGTAGAAATAGTCTATCTGGAAGGCAACTGGGACGTGCAGCTTCATTAGCCGCTAAGCGTGAAAGAGCATAACTATAAAAAAACGTTCACAACGCATTAAAGAACTACTTACTAAAGAACTCTGCCCTAGTATAAATAATGTAACTTACATGGAGATAGTGGGTGAATGAATGAATAAACATTAATAAATATAAAAGTTATTTAGAATAAAAACAATAAGATACAATTGGCAACATTGGCTCAAAAGTAATTATAAATAACTGTGTTAAGCATGAAATGAAAGACGACTTGACTGAAATTTTAAACATCCTCCCCGCAAGAGGAAACACACATTCTGGTCTGTGGCATCTTCATCCTGAGGGTTTTCCAGAACTTGGAATCGGACTGGCTCAAGTCTCTGGTGGGGTGGCAGATGGCAGGGAGGACGCGGAGTGCCCTTCTGACGACGTGTGGCAGGAGCAGGGCAGGAAGCTTACGGGGAGGCCTGCCGCTCCACACCAGAACGATCCTGAAGTGGGGGTCATCCTTCAGGATCTTCAGGCCAGTCTCCAGCTCAAAGAGACAGGGGCTGCGGAGATAGAGCGAGCTGAGCAGGCAGATGATCATCCTGCTCCTCTGGATGGACTTCACCACCTCCTCAGTGTAAGCTACAGTGGGGTAGGGGGGATGGGGGAGGAGGAACAACGGTAAGTATGGTGAGAAGACGTTGAAGGAAAATTCAGCTGAAGCTTCACCAAACCGCATTAACATCAGCTAACAAGATGGTGAGATAACAGCTTCTCACTGGTGAAGGTCTACATCAGGGGTCTCAAACTCCAGTCCTGGGGGCCCGGAGCCCTACACAGTTTTTGGTTCACCTTCATTTAACACACCTGAATCATTTGTGGTGGAAGTGGGAAAGACCTAAGCTACACAGGGCTCCGGCCCCTCAGGACTGGAGTTTGAGACCCCTGGTCTACGTAATAATCAGTAACACGGTATGTGATCACATCCAGACTCCTAATACAATCAGGCAGATGATGGAAGAGACTGTGTGTCTCTGTGGGTTTTAATACTGCGCCTACAGTTGGAAGGTCACAGGTTCAAATCCCACGATCGGCAAAGTGATTTCATTGGTGGTCTCCTACGCAAGGCCCTTAATCCACAATTGCTCCAGGGAGTGGCTGTTCCTGCTTTCTCGAAAGTGCATGCTGCTTTGGATCGAAAGTGACGCTAATGAGGAAAAACAGTAAATGAAACTAAGTGCGAAACTGATGTTTCACTGCAGCTCTCACCTCCCCCAGGAATCAAGTCTCTCTCCAGCAGAAAAAGTCTGTAACCCCACTGTTGCTCCAAAACCTGGGGAAAGTGGTGAAGACCTAGGAGTTCTCCTGTGAGGTCGGCTTCCTCGTTCTCTGAGGAAGAGCCACTGACGTAGGACACAAAGGCATCATATTCCTTTCCAACTGCAGAAATTACAAGAAGAGGTTCATTTCTCCTTTAATAATGTCACTTTATGTATCAATGAACAGACAAATAAGTACAACTGGTCATTGTGGGTTTTTAAGTAAGTCACATCCTGTTGACAGTTATCTGGAAGTGAGAGGTGGGGCGTTTTGTGGTAAAGGGGAAAAAAAAATATTTGTGGTATTTTATTTTCCCACCCACCCTCTGACACACTCTAAAAAGGTATTGCATAGCTTCCTTTTCTAGTGAGCTTGTATTTTTTTATGCACATGAAAAAGCAGAGGCATGACCTCAAACAGACACTTTTCTATGGAAGTACTATTACCGAAGCAATATTTTAAGATGGAGCAGCAACGCCGTGAAAAGAACATAGTGCCATAATTCACACCTTGCAACACTGCTTTACAGACAGGAGCGAGGGGGGGGGGGGTACAGTAAATGCTGTAATACTGAACTGCTGATGAGAAATTAAACCAGGTGCACCAAATACAACACCACTGAATATGATGCATATTCTGACATGGCACATGTTCTTTTATATCAAATTAACAAGTCAAGTTGACCTCATCTGATAACACTCTTTCCCCTGCCTCACTGTGGTCTGAGGGCTGTATGACTAAGGCTTCAGCTGTATCTTCAGGATAAATTTCAGGCAATTTATGCAACTTAAACAGTACTAGCTGCATAAATTGTGTCAATCTTTTGTGGAAATTTGCTTAAATAATTATCTGTCCTTATCTGAAGTGTTCTACTCTTTTTTGTATATTTTGTATTTTACAATGATACCAACTCTTATTAAAGATATGAAAGGGCACACGTGGAAACTCACACACGCACACACACACAAGGTTTTATTCATATCTTTGCGGGGACTCTCCATTCATTTTTACGGGAAAAACCCTAATCCGAGCAATGAAAACCTTAACCCCTACCCAGCCCTAACCTTAACCACAGGTAACCAAACGAAATACAAGACTTTCGGCATTTTTCATTTTTTGATCGCAGTCACAGATTTTTCTAAAATTGTGTCTCCCATTGTGGGGACCGAAAAGGTGGTCCCACCAATGACAAAATAACAGGTATTTATCATATAGTGGGGAGATTTGGTCCTCAGTGTAAAAGACGCATAACCTATGCATATACACACACACACAATTTGGCATCTCCAGTTCAACTCCCTCTGCATGTTTTTGGACTGTGGGGGGAAACTCGTGAGTACATGCAAACTGCACACATGGAGTCTGGCCCAGAGGGGTAAAGCAACACTGCTAACTAGAGCACCGTTGTGTCGCCCCTCATCTTCACAAAAGGATGTTTTTCATCCAAAATTAATTTAGACAACAGTTCATACTTAAGGTGGCTGACAAGGGTCAAAGTGCTGCCAGATCAGCAAACACAAAACTGAAACCCTCAACTTCAAATTATGGAAATACATACATTATGTTGAGTACTTGAAATAGTACTGTAGGTACTGTGTGCAGTTTTTCTTGGCCATTCTGGTGGATTTTTCAGATAAGAATAGAAATTCTCAAAAACCACTTGTCCAAGTCACTTGTGCACGTCATAAAAGCAATTTCTCAATCTTTTTGGAAAACTGCAAATGCTTTGGCACAGTCATACAAATGATTATGTTATATTACGATTGTTTGCTGTTTCTTCCATTATTAGTTGCTTATGTCATGTTGATCAAAAATGATTATGCTGGTACTCTGCTGAATAGTCTTACCCACCCCAAATCATCTATGCATTAGTTCATTGTATACGTTATTACATGCAAAATGGTTGAACCAGTTGTTATAATCTGTCAAGCATGTTCTCTATACATCTCTATTACAGTTAGATCAGGGGTCTCAAACTCCAGTCCTGGGGGCCGGAGCCCTGCACATTTTTGGGTTTCCCCTCATTTAACCAACCTGATTCAAGTCATTGTGCTAATTACCACACAGCTGTTGAGCTGAATCATTTGTGTTGGAAGAGGGAAACAACTAAGCTACACAGGACTCTGGCCCCCCAGGACTGGAGTTTGACACCCTTGCATTAGATCGACCAGTGATCAACTGGGTCTCTAAAATATCTCAGAGGTGCATCTCGTAAACCTTCAGTTGGCAAGTACATATTGACAGAGCACAACATAGTCTTACAATCTGGCAGTGGAAGAACAACAAGGAGTGAACAAGGTGAGAAAAAGAGTGGTGAGGCTGCATGGTGGAGGGATAGGGAGGCAAAACAGAGGAAGAGGTAGAAGAGGCCAAGAACAGAGGCATGTTCCTGATGAAATAAGGGCCACAATTATCAACAATGTCCTCAATCATTCAGACATTTCATAGAGACAACAGGCATGTAATCCAAACAGTGTGCACTGTACTGAAATATTGAATACTTACTGTAATACTTACATTTTAGAGTATACAATAAATATATGTTATACAGTTACAGTACATACTCTACATATACTGTAGACCACAGAGATATGCATATTTACAGTGTGTATATATATACAGTGCATATATGTATACATATGTGTTGGTGAGCTACAGTAAATGTACAGTATGTGTAACTTTGTACTGTTGAAATTAATATATGGCATACAGAAAAAGTAAAGCCATGTGCATTTTCAGTCAGAGTCATCAAAACCTTAGTAATAGTTTACATCTTAAAATACTTAGAGTACACTGTTATACTGAAACAAGACCAAGCATTTTACCATTTATCATTTAGCATTTATCTTGTTTGGACACAATGACAAAAAACTTATTCCGATGGCACTGACATGTTCATTGACATAAATATTTACTTTTGAGAGATAAAGTAAGGATTTCAAACAACTTACAGGCTTTTGCTGGTAATCCATTGTGTGGTGCTGTTTGTACAATTTTTTTTGAGAAGTGCACTTACTGTTTTGCAAATGTTAAGATTTGAGAAATGTAAGAAAGGGTCTGAGAAAAACCTCAATATAATTTTATCCCATGACAGTAATTCAAAAAGGCAGCCCAAACGAGTAACTGACCTGCAATAGCGTCTGGAAATGGAAGATACATTCGGTATAGAAGGAGAATCTCCAACCAATAAGCACGAACCAGGACACTGACCCCAGTCACAAATACCAGGGCCACAACTGGTCCAATGATAACCAGCACCAGTTCTCCCACTGAAAGAGATCCAGCACAGAACTATCATAACATTGCTCCAGTTATAACTTATGACTTGTGTAACTCATTTGTACCATTCTGTTATTGAGAAAAGATTTTTAAAATAACATTCCGCCAATTTTCTTGGGTATCTGTAGCTCATTACTTGGATTATAACGTCACAATAATAATTTGTTTACACTGGAATAGAATACCTTGCAACTTTCTCCTCAGCCTCATTGTTGTGGACACGTTGCCTATGGAGTTCTGAGCAAAGCATGTGAAGGTAGCATCTAGGTCCCTCTCAGTCACCTTGTGGAGGAGTGCCACCTGTGTGGTAGTGTGCTCCCCAAAGCTCGGCTGCACCCCCCTAGAAATATTTTCAGAAACATCACATTTATCCATGATACAGCTCAGCTTTCAACCTAAATGTAAGTTCAAGGTGAGCATCTTCCTCAATGAACAGGGACTTGAATAAACAACATTCTGGTTACAGTCCCCTTATTCTGGAAAACTCCGCAACCTGCCACTCCTTTACCTACAGTATAATGTAGTTAGGTAAAAATGTGAAAAATGTGAAAAATACAACATTTAACATATAATATCCTCGTATCACCGTAGGTTTCATCTATCAATCCTGATTTCTTATTTTGAAATATGTTCCACATAACTATGCACATCAAACATCACAATATCACGTGAGTGCATCCGCAGTACGTATCCAAACTGTATTTCTTTGCAGCCTCCGTATGAAGCCACACCCAAATGCAGACTCAAGTCATTTTACTGCTGGGGAACACAAACCAATACTCACATGATTTCTGAATTCAGCAGTTCTTCGCTGCCATAACCGCCATAACTGACAAACCACTTGATCACTGGCTGGAATGTTCTCTCAAATGGAAACTGCACCTTACAAGTCAGATTTTTGGCCTTCCCTGTATGGCAACAAATCACATAATACCAGACTTGAACACTTTGCTTATAAAATGGAGGTCATTGATTTTAGACTATCATAGATATCCGGTATCTTATAATGTCAATATCAAACTGATCTTTTCTACACTGTCTACTGTCCTGAGAAGAAATACTTTATTAGCATCTGTCAGTTGTTGTACATATTATTTGACTGCAGACGTTCAGAGAATGATGTTGGCAATATGCCGCATGATAGACCATGAGAAATACATTACCAAGCTCTGTTTCTTCAGTACAGTCCTCGTAAGGGTAAAGGATTCTGGGCAGAATGTCCCTTTCGTCTTCTGTTGTGGTAGAAATGCACCAAGTTTAACTCTCACACCTACCCTGGGATCAAACTGACCTCAAAGGTACACGTCAGGTGACTTCTCATAGTAACATAATTATATAGGAGCATATAAGAATTAAGATTAATTAATTGCCATTATTAGGCTGCCTATACATGTCAAAAAGGACATTTGTTTTGTAAAATCTAAACATATTAAATAGATTTTACATGATAGGTCTGCTGACTGAACAATATCTTACTTCTGGTACAACTTACGGATCACTGTCACCCGGACTGATCTTCTAACTGTCCACATCATTCCATCCATGTGACTGACATCGCAGGTAAACATAGCATGGTCTCCAACATACACCGTGTACAGTTTGAGTTCAGTACCTTCTATATCAAGGCCTCGTTCTGCTCGTGTTAAATATTCGTTTTCCTAATGTAAAAATAAAAACAACAAATTCTGTCTCATATTGAGTGAAAATAAGATTGCAGAGACCATACAGCCTTCAAAGGTCCATATATAGAACATAACATGCAAATGTATCAGTGAAAATCATAGAACATTTAAAGGTTACATTTTAAAGGAGACATGTCAGACAAGAATCATTATTGGCGCCCTAGATTACCTTGTACCACCTTATGTTCACCTTGGAAGCCTTGGTGTAACAATGCACACCTGGACACTGGATCCGGCCACCACGTCCCACTATAAGTGTGACCTCACTGTCCCCATGTACCCTGCAATCTGTCCCATTCCTTGGCATCACATCCAGGATAAAAGACAGCATCTTGCTCCTGTTGCCCAACACCGGTTACAGGAGAAGGCAACGGTGAATCAACAGGCCGCGCTTACTAGAATGATTCCTATTATCAATGTTTTACCGACTAATAAAACTGACGCAAAACTTACAATACGTTTTACAAACAATGTTTACAAATAGTTGCTCGGTTTTCTCGACGTAATACGTGATCAAACGTCAAAAAACAGACTCACCCGTTGTAACAAGAATAATTCCCAGCATGTCTTTCTTCGATTACAGTAAAGTTCAGGTAATTTCCTTGTTTGGCAATGGTGCCATCTTGCCCAGGAATGGTCTCATTTGTGTGTCCTTTGTGTTTTAACCATATGACACTATTCTCAATCCTCTTAGACTGATCGAATAGGTATACAGGCTGATACGGAGAAGCGCACTGCAGTAGGAATCCCTCTCCAGCCAAAGCCTTATACCCGTACGGCGCGGAGCCAGAAGAAACACCTGAACCGGCATTTAGGACACAAATTAACGGCAGAGATGGCAGTGCAGGTGACAAATCAAAACAAGACCGACGGTGATGATTACGATGATGAGGTTGATGACTATACCTTGGGTCCGCAACAATCCAAAAATCACAACAGCCAAAGTCAGTCCGCAGCACATGCTGAGCACGACATAGTTGCAATGCCGCAGTCCCTGCGTGACAACAAAAGTATCCACTTAAGAATAATTTTGAAGTGGCGGGAGACCCATAGATAAGCGTGATAAAGCAGGTGTTGTGATCTTTGATGCACCTCTTATTCGCGTTAGTCACTCTGGGCCTCGCTGGCAAACCCACAGATGGAAGAATCACGCCAGCAAAAAAAGAACAAACGACATTAACTGTCAGTTCATTTTTTTCCGATTTTACGTCGGAGAGCCACTACGGCTACGCGATCAGGCTTCCTGTGTTACCCTCTCTGCTTCTCTTTTTATGCTTTCGTTTTGCTAATCGTTTTCTGACCCCCAGTTTCTAAAGAATTACATTAAAAGAAGAGGGTAAAGCTCCCCCCCCCCAGAAGCTGACAATAAGTATGTGCATTGAAGCGGTTTAAAGGAAAAGAAAAGCGCTTAGCGGAAACCAACTCACGCGTTACAACCACCTCGATTACAATTATTCTCGATTGCCTTGGCACATTTCTCAAATGACAATTAACATATGCCAAACAGCTAGTGCAATCCCCAAACCATGATGTCACTTCTGTACAGCAGAACGTCATTTCTCATTGTTTCTCACTAATTTCTAAATGTTTTAGTACGTATATGCAAATGTTTTGTAAAATTGTCAGCATTTGGCATAATTCTCAGATGCCTTAGTTTTGTCGGTGAAAATAGATTACGTAGTTTCCCATTTTAATAGTTTTACACCCAAATCTATGTATTCGTGTGATCGTCGTGTTAGCCGTGCACCACGTGCAAAACAGTTCAATTGTTCAACGCGGTGATGCGGCAGCTGTATTTTTAGATCCCACATTTTGTTGTTCCTGTATAGTCGTTTTGATGTTTTTGTGTTTCACTGTGCTGTGTGACTTGTTTGCTATTGTACTGTGTCTTGAGGTCTGAGAATTACACGCGAGTGACTTCTAGCGACAGTGAACTTTACATACTGTAATATATGGAGCTTAAAAAAGTTGAAACGGCTGTCTTTGACATCGATAAGTGTCAATTTGCTAAAGAAAAATGATCGGTCAGTGACAATGAGAAAATCGGAAATGAGTATCATTGAGAATTTTGAAAGAGCAGACTTACGCTGACATTTATCTAAGCATTTTGACTCATGGTTAAAACGATGTAGATCGTACTTTTCATTTTGGTGGCTAATTCATTGGTGGAGTTACAGGCTTTTGCAGCGATACCATATAATGTTAAGTATGTTTCATAAAATGTGCCAAAGCAATCGAAAAAAACTGTAATAGGAACCTGAAGTATCTAACCAATTGCTTTCCTGATTTTATTTTCTGTTTAGAGTTTACTTCAGAGTAAAACATTTATATATCACAGCAACTTGAATGGTGCAAGGGTGGTGACATTCAGCTTCTAAAGGACACTTACAGTATTAATATTTATTATATTTTTATGAATATTTATAATTAACACACTCACTACTAAAAACTGCCTTTAAAGTGACAAAAATCCCTATCAATGATAGATCCTCTATCCAAAAAAGAAGGCATATAGGGACCTTATGTATAATGTATATAATCTAATGACCATCAAAATACTAATTCTACTAGAACATGTATCTATCACCATCCAGTCCAAATCCCAATCCACAGGTTACTGGCCTGTGACCATAGTCACCCTCTACCTCAGTGGTATAGTGGTGCTTTGGTAGGTGAGAATATAGTTATACCGTATAACTGCATACAGTATATGCACTTCTCATCTGACTGATGCACATTTCTGACAATTTTCAGGTGGGTACTTGCCGTATACCTGAGTATACCCATCACTACACATCTGCTGTACATTCACCCCAACACCCAATGGGTTCACAGTTAACCATTCACACCTGCAATTATTTTAGGAATTTGTTTACTTTTTAAAGATCAATCCTGTTTGGGTTCTACAGTAGGTTTCCTGGTTATAGGCCTAAGTGGCTTGGGGTTTTGTATCAGATTGTATCAGTTTGTGTCAGATTGTATCAATTTGTATCAGTTTGTATCAGGAAAGACACAGTAGTGTTTACAATATTGTTACTTACGCTAGAGGAAGCCTTGCAGTCCCTTAACAGCTGGAAATCTTTGTTTTCTACTGGTGCTCCTTTTTGTTCTATGCCAATCAGTGGACTTCACAGTGTGAACAATATATGATCTGGCTCAGTTAATCTTTGTATGGATCTTCTGCTCTAGTCTTCTGACTAACTTCTCAGTGGACAGGCAGCTGAACGTCGAGGCTCTGTTTGATGTGTGCCGCTCACGCACCGCGGTATTTTGATTTGGCCATCATTTGACATCATTTCACAAGTTAGTGGCGTACATTACAGGAAGCTCTTATCAATTCCACTGATGGGGTTCTCGCTTTTCTTCACACTCTCTCCACGCATCGCTCCTGTGTGACATGCTTCTTGCATGCATGTTGCATGTTCCCATGCTTCTCACTATGGTATGCATTCATCCAAAGTGACCCACAGGCTGAGTGACATTGATTTATACTATTGCCTATTAAAAAAACCGAGGAACAGAAATTTATATTTGAAATGGATACTCCGCAATGGTCCTGCTGTGCAAACGCAGTCAAGATAACACAAGAAAGCCCCCATTTCCTTCTGAATTTTTGTCTTCAATTCTTGTCACAGGTGCATTTTTAATGCAGACCCCTAGCAAAAATGATCCAGTCATCAAGTTGCTCGTGTGTACATCAATCAATGTTTATTTTGCTTTGATTTGCATCAGCATATTTTAGTTTAACATTTTCCCCAATAATCTCTATTATACTACTATAATATCTATAAGAACAGACGGTGATAGAATCCAATTAAACAAGACACTCCTTGCTTCCACTCTTGGTCAAATCAGGTAATTATTTCATAAAGAAAGTACAATGTGAAATTCACAGATAAATGATCTCAGGAAAGCCAAAATATAAGTAAAGAATTGATTGACAGGTACAACAGTTACAGAGAATCCTTTTCAGCTTTTTGCCAAGATGTTCATTGTTATATCAAAACCGGAAATACATCATCTAAACAGGTACCTATTATTCTTTTGTTTTTTTTTCGCCATATAAAGCTACTCGCACGGTTTTCACAAATCTCATTGATTTCACATTTGATATCTGTTCTTATCGACAACAGCAGATTGTAAATAATCAGAATTTTTTTTATTTTTCAAAAAAACAAAAAAAACAAAAAACAAATAAATAAAGCATATATCCCACTGGAAATTCGATCACAAATTATTGCATTGAGTCTGGGAAAATGAACGGAGGGATCATGCTGGCTGGCCCTGTTGATGTTTTTCAGGAAATACCTCCTTTGGAAAGTGCACCGTGGGGTGGAAATCCTCACCGACTCCGATCCTGAACATGCCATCAGAAATGTTTCTGAAAACACCCTCAACCATCTTATTAAAAAAAAAGGAACAAAAATGCACATTCATCCATAGGATTTAAGACAGATCGTACCCATATTTATCTGTTGATGACTGTTTTGTAAGTGACTCTATGATGAACTCCTGTCCATTTTACTCCTGGGCTGGGATGACGCACTTAGGATTTGAGACCCAATATTGATCTGGTCCACATATACATGACATATAATATAGAAGATTCTATGTACACACATATACATTTAAAGGTTTTCTTTTTCCCATTATGAGTGTCTATGACTGGATGTTGACTGTCATTAACCACAGAAGGTGTCTCAAAAGATGACGATAAAACAAAACATAGACACAGAAATTTGCTCTTTTTTCTGATTAACACTGTTGTGTCACACCAGTTTCAGGTTTAGTCATTTGTCTTACATGGCAACCTGTGTTCGACTCATATGGCAGCGTTACATATTGATACATAACCAGACTGTGCATGACGATGAGTCACCGTGTGCAGAAAGAAAAGCTGCCCTCTTTGACATATTAGAGCAACAGGTCCACAGCAACAATAAAGCTGTATGGATGGCATTGAGAGTTCAAGGTAGGTGGCTTTGGCATCTATACATCGGCTGGGAGGCAAATCCGCGAGTCACCAAATGAATGTGGATGCATAACAGTTTGATGAGCCAAGAGAATAAAAAAAAAAACACAAGGAAACGATAAAAAAGCTAATGAGCTGTGACATACAGCTGCTGAAAAAGAAATAAATCATTATTTGGTTAGTTGTGAAGAATAATTGTCTCATTATATCATATACCCCTAAAGATATATGTTCTGTATATTTGCTTTTACTGTGTGTGCGTGTGTCTGTGAGGCGCAGGTACATGCTTGCGTTTTGACACTTTTGGGCATCTCTGCTTTCATTTTGGCTGGGAAGTTCTTTTTCGTTATTTTCGGAAAATCTAGCAGCAGCCAGTGTCTCGCAAATGAGGAGTGTGGTACGTAGCATGGTGCTGAAGCCCCGAAGAATGTCTCCCTTCACATGTTACCTGGAAAACGCAGAGCTCTGTTTTATTAGACTGTTTACAAATGACCATCTCTGTCCAACCCAGGTCTGCTCTTATAAGAAACCATATTTATTTTAATTTTTTTTTAAAGCATAGCTCAACCGCGGGGAATAAAGGGCTGTGTAGATAGAAATACGGCGAGAAGTGTATGTGAAGGTATTCTAAAATATAAACCAATACATTAAATAAGAAAAAAACAGAATATTTTGGCCTTTTTAGCAATGCAGGTACACATTTTTTTAAGTGATTTTTTTTTCTTTTTACTATCTCAAAAATATAAAGTTTTTGTTATTTTCCTTAATTGGCCTATAATATTAAATAAAACCTTTTTTCTTTAAAGTCACATGCTGCTTTTCTTATGGCAGTTTTATGTTGTATTATTCAACCGTTTTTGTTTCATGCAATCGGTGTGTATTATTGTAGTTTTAGGATGTATCCTCACAGCGTGGTTTTGCGTCTTGTCTGGGGAAGGGGGTCCCCAAACGAAGGTTGCCAGAAGTCCAGCATGGGAAAGAAATACGAGGGGAGGGGGGCAAGGGAGGGGGCATTTCTCTCTGTCCCTGACCACTCGGTATCCATCCCACCACAACCTACAGCATCCCACCATCAGCTGCTCCTAATGCGGGTTTCTGGTGAGGAATATTGCAGCCAGGAAGCGCACAAATATAAAATGAAGTCTTTTTTCCGACTCCCTTGCTCTCTCGCTCTCACGGCAGCTCCATGTTCTTCCTGCACCCCTGTCTGTGGTGACAGAACTCTTGGCCCTGCTGGGCTTTAAAACTGGTACCACTTCTTGTCCTTGTACTTCAGCATCAGCTGTGAAAGACATCAAGGTGCAGCATGAACTTTCCCCCCCCCCTTTATACAGAAGGCCATTCCTCATACTCACACCTTGATCGCCCCTCCTCCCCTGGGAAGCAAGTTGCCTCCATTCCTCCTCTTCTCCTAGCTCTCCCTACCACCCCTCTTACCTCATGAGCATGTCTGGAGAACATATCCGCGCTGGACATCATCAGCGCTGTCCTCTCCTCCAGCTCTCCCAGCCTCTGGCCTCTCTCCTCAGCTGCCATGCGGGCCCTGGCCAGGTCCCCAACCACTCCTCCAGCTGCGGCCTTCATTCCCTCCAGACCACCTTGGCCCGGGATGTGCTGGGCCAGGCTTCTGGAGGCTTTCCCCGCAGCGGCCTCTCCAACTACAAAGAAGGTGAGAGAAGGAGTGACTAAAATAATGGCAAGCGGTAAAGCAATAAGCCTAGAGAGCTAGAGAGGCAACTGCAGATCCTCTGCATGAACTAACTTGTATTTCCTATACAGACGCTCCTCACTTAACAACCTACCTGTTTAATTACCGCGTGGACTTACGACCAGCTCTCCGACCAGTCGGTACTGTATGCTGTACAATATGCAAACCTAAGTAATGTATATTAGAGCCGATTTCCTCTATTCTGTTAATTACAGCACACAGTACACTACTGTAGAAACATTTATCAACAGGGATGCACATAACTGGCATAAAACACATAAAATACATACCCACATAAAATACATACGCATTTCTGCTGTTACAACAATCAATTGCCGCATGTATCGCTTTTAAAGGTGAATACATTCCTGCTTACTAGTTATGTGCATCCCTGTTTATAAATATATTAAAATTGTTATATATGGTGCAAAGGTGACATTAAAACACTATCTAAAGATGGATTTTTTTAGACAAACCCACTACCAGTACAGTATGCTTGAAATATCAGTTATGGGCGCCTCCTCGCTTAACGACCTATTCCCTTAATGATTTAATCATAGGAATGGAACTCAGTCATTAAATGAGGAGTGTCTGTATTAAAATGTCCTGTTCGGCTCTGACCACAGTGAAATGAGGAGCCACTGTAACACTTACAGAGCTCCTCCCTGTCAAAGGTCTGTGCGTTTCCTCCGAAGAATCCTTTCAGGAAGCCCTTCTGGGCCTCAGGGGTCTCCACCGGGGTGAACAGCTCCCCCAGCATTTCCTGGCAACAGTCAAAACTAACAGTCAGTCCCATAAATCAATCACCATGTGCAAATATTCACGAGATCTCATATCTCTCCTTGGAATGTATGAATAATATGTGAATAATATGGGTTCAAACAAAGAAAAAAGTAACACACACACACATACACACACACACACACATATATATATATATATATGGAGGGAGAGAGAGAGAGAGGGATGTGTCATCACATTGGGAAAAGGGGAAGTGTGCAGTACCACTCAAAAGTCTTTTTAATGTATTTGTCTGTATTTTACCTAGATTATTCACTTCATAGTGACTGGCCACCAGGCAATGAAGGAATAGATGTAAATATTGTAATGACCAAAAGAAATGTTCAGTATCTGCACATTCTGTCAAATCTTTTACTCTTGAAAACGCCCTCCCTTTGTTTCTTCGACAGCATTGCAGACTCCTGGCATTCTTTCAACCAATGTCCAGATGTAGCCAACTGGAATATTTCTCCAATAGTCCTGAAAGTGTTTCCACTAGTCATGTGCATATGTTAGCTACCTTGCACTTACTCTTTGGTCTAACTCATCCCAGACCAGCTCGTTAGGGTTTAGGTGGAGGTGGGGGGGGGGGATTGTGGGGGCCTGGTCATCTGTCATCTCCTTCCTTGTTCACAAGATAATACTTACTACATAACTTAAACGGTTATCTTATTGAAAAACAAATTATTCTCAGTAGGTGGGTCCAGACATTTGAATGTTGGTGCACATATCTATCAACAGGTGGCAGTAATGAGATATATGAAAAACTGTGTTGCCACCTAGTGGATGCTCAGTATATTAGATTGCAGTGACTGAGATCAAGCAGCGGAATATTTAATTATAGGATTTTTTAATCTGGATATTTCCTGCAAGGTAAATAAAGTACCCCAAAGTGTGAGGTGGCCTAAGCAAAATTAAATGCTGGCAATATTTTTTATGAATAGAGTGGAGCTGTGATGTTATGTGTATTTATGACATGTCGGTGACATACATGTTCAGTATGTGACTCGTTTTCCATGAGAATTGCAGGGATGGGTTTTCTGTGACGGGGGTGGGGATTCCTGACCTGCAGGCTGTCGCACATGTCCTGGCTGTATGCCATGCGCTGGATCTCGGTGGGTGAGCTCAGGTAGAGCGCCTGGCCGCCTTCAGTGAAGCAGAAGGTGCGAGCGATGCGCATGTCCGTCAGGGGCAGGAAATTCACGTCCAGCAGGGGCCTGAGGCTGGGAAGACTGCAACCAAACCGGCGGCAGGACGTCAGCGGGCGTCACAGCAGAAGGCAGGGGGCAGTAAGTCACGGTGAACGGCGGCCGGACTGCTCCCCTCTCTGTACAGGACTCATAACATCCAGGCCTTGGGCTAGAAATACATTTTATGTGCGGTCTGGCAACCCTACCGCAAGCTTCTTCTCGGTAGATATTTCTGATGGGGGGGTGGGGGGTGTTGAAATTAAATCTGTTACTTTACTACGTCGCTATGCGCCTGACGACATCTCAGACTCTGGACTCCGAGGAAACTGAAGTCTATTTTATCTATTTATTACACGTTTTTTCCATCTGTTCATTCGATTCCATTGTCCAGTTGTAGCTCTTCTAATCAAGTGTTTTTGACAGTACTTTGCATCTTATCTATTCAATTGAATTCAGTTCTTCACTGTTATAAGCACAATGGGACTGATTTAACAACTCCCTAAGCAGTGCTAACAAAACACAAAACAAGACATGTAGAGTGTAAGCAATAGGTCTGTAAACAATAGGTCTGTAAACAATAGGTACAAATGCAATAAATGGTATGCAGTGGTGTGGTGCATGGGGGTTACATGTGAGAGGTCTTAATATGTTTTATATTTTGTATGTCTAACATACTTACATTTAATTATTTGAACTATGACCCAAGAGAAATGAAATTACATCTCAATGTATGACTCAAGCATCATAGAGCTCAGGAGACATTAAAGATACTTTGAGGTTGAGTTTACTTTGACTGCTCAGGATGGAGGGTGGCGCCTGGTGATGAAGGCCTGGGTACCTGAGCATCATGACGTGCCCATTGGCACAGAAACAGGCCAGGCAGACGCTGTTGTAGACGGAGACGACGTCGGCGCGCAACACGAAGGAGGACTCCGTGATGTGGTGCACGTAGAGGCAGGTCTGTGCCGGCATGAGGAAGACCTTGGCCTGCTTCTCGGAGCACACCACAGCCAGGTGTCCTTCCCCGGACATCTCCTGGGACGTCGAGGGCGAGAAATTGACGAGCTTGCGCCTGCGGGGGCAATCAGGGTCCTCGGGGGCGTGAGGGTCCCTCCACACCTCATAGGGGTTTGAGACTAGGGAGCCGTTGCAGTCCAAAGACCCAAATGTCAGCACTGATCCCTTTATCGTCAGCACAGTACCTGGAGATGTAGAAATAACAGAAAAGATGGTGGTACATTATGTAACTACAACTGTGTTCCTGTCTACAGGAGGGAGGGCAGATCAATTGAACTTGTTCAACAGGAAGTGCAAAAAAAAAAAATATATATATATATATATATATATATATATATATATAATCTACAGGTATACCACTAGGGGGCAGGTCTTTGATGACATGCACTTGTGAAATCGCAGCAGTTCGGGAGGCATCCAACAGCAACTCACTGCTGGGCATCACTGTCACAGGTTCCTCCAGGCGTTCCTCTTCATCAGTGGGGATGGAGAGCGCGATGACAAGCACGACCCCCAGGCTGGTGCCCACCCACAGGCAGGCTGAGGGCACAGCATCCACCTTGCGGGCGTAGGACTCCATAAATCGCAACACGGTCACTGCCTCCTTTGTCTCGCGGTCGATGCTGGAGACACTGGAGCTGCGTGAGCGGCTGAAGGAGTTCTCCCGGCTTTCTGCGAGGGCCCAGCCGTGGGGGTGGAGGGGGAGGGGCAGAAAATAATATAAAGAAAGGGAGTAGAGGTATTCCATGTAAAAGAGAGGAAGGAGAGATGCCATGTAAAAAGACAAAAAGGGAGAAGAATGAGGCCAGGTAAAACGGAGAAGATACAGAAGCCATGGAAAGAAGAAGCACAAAGTCACACAGAACAGAGGGAAAGAGCCATGTAACTCACAAACATTCAGAGAGAGAGAAATTAGCGTAGAACAGAAGACAGAGAGACCATGTGAAAGAGACGGAGTAACCCCACGCAGCCCCAGAGAGAGACGTCACATGAATCAGCGTGACAGAGGAGCGTCACATTAATCGTGGAATTGAGAAAGGAGTGTCACGTGGAGTTTGGACAGAAACGTCAACGTGGAACAGAAAGCAGAGACGTGCCAAGAAGAAATAGACAGAAAAACCCCACGCAGCCCCGAGGAGAGACGTCGCGTGAGTGAAACAGACAGAGGAGCGTCACATTAATCGTGGAATTGAGAAAGGAGTGTCACGTGAAACGGGGAGAAACGTCAACGCGGAGCAGAGAGCGGAGAAGTGCCGAGAAAAAAGTGAGAGACAAAAGCCACGAAAATCAGAGGGGAAAAGTCACGCAAAACAGAGCGACGGAAGAGTGTCATATTAATTGGAGAATTCAGAGAGATGTGCCATGGGAAACAGACAGAGAACCACACGGAACAGAGCAGACGAGAAGAAAGGAAGACATTAAGTGCAGAAAGAAAAAATGCCACGTAGAAATAGAGGAGTTGACGAGAAATGATGTGTAAATCGGAAATGTTGGAGAGGAAGGACACGCAGAGCAGAGGGGACAGAAACACAGGGTAAATGAGCAAGAGAAAAATGCCACATAGAAAAAGGGAATGTCATGTAAAAATAGAGAAAGTAAGGGGTGAGAGAGAGGCGAGAACACACACGATTTAAAGGCTTTTTAATGCGGTTTGTACATCATCAACCAGTCAGTCATCTCATGTAAATAAACCTAGAAGAAATAAATTGACCAATAAACTCTTCATATAAAGAAAAAACAAGAATTCAAAATATATCAAAGAGACAGCAAATCAATGCTTAACCATGTATGTTATCTGTTTCCCTCACTAACTGTGCTGAACATAAATGTCAACATATGCTCTGGAGCAATGGCCTGAAATCCTCACATCATCCACACACAGGGCCAGCCCAACTCCTTTTGTGGCTCTAAGTAAAATTCGATTGACCTAGTTGGTCATTGGTCATCTTCCTTCCCATTCTTACGGGCTGATCAGATGGGGCGCCCCCTGGTGGCAGCTAGCCTAGAAGCAGCCAATCAGTCTGCTTTTGCCTTGAGGTGGCCCTGTCGCTGTAAATGTGCAGGTTCTATTTGTCATGTAAGCAATTCGAAAAGCCCCAATGCATTCAAGTGCTTGTGTTGGGCATCTGTGTTGTACAGAACTGATGCTGCACAGTCCAAAGCTTGAAGACTCGTGCAAGATTTCACATCAGCACAAACCGCTGGAAGCTAATGAGTCGTAAATTACAATAAAAATGAAAATGTTTCCAATAAAATTTATGGCCATTTTCTCAATTAAGAGTCACTACGATTAATTCGAAACATCGATAATTACATTTATTTATTTGATACCAGTCAAAAGTCTGGACACCTGCCTTTAATGCATTTATCTCTATTTTAACTATTTGATATGTAATATCATAACGTGACATTTCAAAGCATGTGAACTTCAAAAATAAATTCTCTCTATTTCATACATATCAAATATTGCAACAACCAATTTTCTCAAATTTGATACACAATCAAAGACAGCATTGCAGACTCTTGGCATTCCTTCAATCAGCTTCCAGATGTAGCCACCTGGAATGCTTCTCCAACAGTCCCAAAGGTGTTTCCACAAGTTCCGGGCACATGTTGGCTACCTTGCTCTTACTCTTCGATCAAACCCATCTCAGACCAGCTCTATAGGATTTAGGTCGGGGATTTGTGGGGGCTTGGTCATCTGTCACAGTACGCCACCTTTGTCTTTGTTCACAAGATAATACTTACTACATAACCTTGAGGGTTATTATCTTGTTGAAAAACAAGTGATTTTCAGTAGGTGGTTCCAGACTTTTGATAGGTACTGTAGCTATGTTCCTGCGATTTCAGACACTGAGGAGAAGGCTGTATGACAGCCATGAATGCTCATGCTAACAGTCAACCTGAAGAACCATGGGGCAGTGGGAGGCTGATCCACAGAGCTCAGAATCACTAGGGAGCTGCACTGAGGCTATAACACAATATACACTATCCTATAGGAATCAAATCGCCAGTTCGTTGGTATCACACTCGTAACTGCAAACATTTCATCAGTAACCCTCTGCCCAGAGTAAATATACATTATCTTATTAAAGAATAATAAGTGACCATTTAATTCTGTAGCTAACCAAACTAATGCATTGTCAATGAATCCATGTCATAAATGCATACAAGCAAGCTAATGTTACTGTAAACATACTGCAGGCTTAATATGTCCTGAGACCGCAGACTGAGATGAATGCTGGTCTCGATCACTGGAGAGGCAAATTGCCAAGTCTACCCTATCAGGTTCTGGCCCCGCCCTCTTACCTCTCTCATTCCAGGAGTACGCTGTGGAGTGTTGCTCGTCATGCGAGTATACACTGTATCCGTGCAATTGCTGAAGCATTGCCCGCCTGGAAGCACAACCTACTCCCCCCCGTCCCGCACCAAGAGACAGACAGACAGGCAGTACCCAACGATCACAGAGAGGGAGAAAGAAAATCAAATTGAGTGTGTGAGCAGTTATGGTTAGAGAGTGACCTTTGCCCTATTTACAAGACCGCGTGGCTGTTTTTGCATACTGTTTGCCTTAAATGCTTCAGGTATGGGCTAAACAAACACAGTGCCACTGCAAACAGACCAATTTCTACAGCTACTTGATTAACATGCCATGGGTTGATGGAAATGTCTTCCAGTGCTTTCGCAAATGAGAAGGATCCAAGGTGGCCTCAGATACATACAGTATGAATGCATAATGTTGCCTTTTCACTGGAAGCTGAAGCCCTTGCTGAAGGGTGGAAATCATGGTCGTCATTGTTATTTCACGCATAAAAACAGGCAACTATTGTTCTCTTGATCAATGTTGCAGTAATACCCCATGGCTGACTAATTGCATATTTGCTTATTTATCTCTGTTACAATGTGTTAGCAACTGAGGAACATAATGGCTCTTTTGTTCACCGGCTTGAGCAGAAGCAACAAATCTGACAGGCAATTTGGAGCCTCCTGGTGTGTTGGTACATGACCATGCCTGAGATGTTTGCCCTTGAGAGCTGAGAGCTACACGGACTAGAATTCCGACAAAACATAGAGGAACTTGCAAGGGATTTGGGACAGGAAGTGGTTGAAGGGTAGGGATGGATGGAGGTAAAGCTGGGGGCAAGGCCTCAGCAGTGCTCACATAAAGGACTGTAAAGATGAAGATGCACGGATGACACGGTGAATACCACAGAGAGACACATGCTTTCTCCATCCCCAGCAAAGTCGGGACAGCATTTCCTATTGCCAAGCCAAAATGCATTAAGAATTTGGGATTATTCACCTTTTACCAGCTTCTCTGATTCAGTATCAATATAAGAGCCACAAAATGAATGGGGATGTATTTTATAAATAAAGTCTCATCATAGTAAAAGATTGCGTGCAAATCAGGCATGACTGCTTTTGTTTACATCAATAATGTCACTTGCCCTTTTTCCCTCACTGTCATGCCCTGTTGCAGACCTAATTAGAACTCGGTACCCTTTTCGCCTAATTGGCCATTAATTATTTTAGTTTCCCTGCTGTGGTAGGGCTGCTTTAATAATTCAGACAAAGTAACAGCAAAGAACTAGAGGGAAACATCTCAAGTCACAAACAAAACCTTGATGGAAGACAAGACATCAGAGGAACCACCAGCTTATCTCCATCTCCACCATCTCGGCTCCATCTCCACCGATACATAGCAGATTCTCCGCGGTGACAGATTACTGGGGCAGATTAGCAGGGAGCAGCACGCTTCATGATGAAACATTTCAGGTGATTCTCACAACAATACTTTTCTGGTCAGACACTCAAATACTGCATGTTTAAGCAGATTTGTGAGATAATGTGACATTTCAAAGCATGTGATTTTACTTTATAAATAAATTCTCTCTATTTCGAGGCTGGACTTACAAGACAATGTAAATTGAGGGGAAAATTTCAAAGTATAAAGAAGACGATGGAAGCTGATCTTTTGTTTCCTGTCCAACTCTGTGGGGATTTCCGAATATACAATAATAGAAAAATCTATGAGACATCGTAGCATTTCACAAAATTTAATTTGAATTTGCATTTATAAACAATTGGATTGGATGACCTTTAATATTTTCCTATTAATGAAAAACACATTGAAGCTATTGGTTTACCCTAAGGGATGCTGCCTTATTACATACATCAGTATTGATGTGTCACCTTCTTAGGTGTACACTGCATTAGAATCGGTATCTTTTATAATGACAGATTAAAGGTTCATAGCACTAGTGCAGCAGAACAGCCTGAAGGAGTCTTAATCTTCTTGTATTCAATCTGACATCTTTCACAGAAATACAGTAACTTTTCTCGTGAATTGAATTCTCTTTGAATGCATTTCTGTTCGAGTCTTTTTTTAATGGAGCCTGGAAGGTAATACTCTATAGCCTTTTCAGGGATGCCTGATTAAGCAGCCAGGCCTTGGACTGTGACTGATTCACAAACACTAAGCTTCTGTCTTGGCTGTTTGTACTAACAATCTCGCAACCGGACTACACAACACGTCAATCTGCAGAAAGGCAAATCGGCCAGTCCGGATTCGTCCCTCGTGGCTTTGTGTGGCCCTTCCTGGTAAGAATAAATATTTGCCACTTCAGCCTCCTCATTATCAGGTATCTTGAGTAACCCGAGGATAAAGACAACATCAAAACAGATGAGTTATTGCCCACATAGCAATTCAGTTCCTCCAGTGTCTTGGTTGCGAAAATGAGACTTCTTTTGATGTAAAAGCAGGGCGTATTACACCAAACAAAGTCAGCCCGATTGTATGACATTGCCTATATTAAAATTGTATACATGTTAATGGTAATCATGCAATATAAGCTAATGTTCAGTACTCAATTGTTCAAGTTGTGCTTCATTAACATATTAATTGAAGATTAACGACAATTCTTTCAGTTGATACATCTAAATTCCATCCACAGAAATCTCTAGACTGTCATATGGAAGACAAGGTCAATCCAGAGAATGTAGAAACAGCTTCTGACACTAAGGTCAAAATGCTGAGTATTTTAAGTAAGGAAGAGAATCAATGACCTTTGTTTAGCAAGTAATGTGGAGCTCAGTAAATGACTCGATATTCTTAGCCTTACAGTATTTGGGGCTCATCACTCCTTCAGTCCACGTTAGAAGTACATTAGCATCCTGTTGAGTATTGAGGTCCAACAGTGGCTCTGTCAGGGAGTTTCATTTTGTCATCCACCCCCTAGAGTGTAGCCATTATTACGCAAAGTATTGAAACCCAGGTATGTCCTACTCACCATGGAAAGTTTAATGCCATTCAGACTTTTGTAAATTAAACCTCACAGGAGATGCTAAACCAAGCTTGTGACTCCCAATCCTTATTAAAATCTCTCATATTCTGTTATGTAAAATAACTTCATAAATAGAGTTATAATAGGACCCATAGGACCTTGTGACCAAATAAGGCTGGCTTTACATGTGCCTGAAACTTCTATTTAAATTCTTTTAAAAAATCTATTGGAACCCAAAATCTTCCAGAGTACAGTTTCAAAAAAATGCATACTCCTCAATACTCCTTATGATTATAGCAGGGTGTTACTAGGAGACGAGAAATATTTTGAATGTTTACAAGCTTTGATGCTATTCAAAGGAATGTTCCACGGAGTCTCCTTTGACCTGTACTAGCTATATGTATTTGTTCTCCACCCTGAAACAAAAAACAGCACTACAGCTAAAGTCCAAAAAAGACACGATATGACATGACATGAGGTTCAGGACAAGCGAAGACCCGGCACAATCAAAGACTCGTGTACGGAGACAGGGACAGAACGGGGTCACAGAATGGGTGGCAGTGTCACCTGGTCAACACAATAAGAGAGAGGAAGCAATGCGTGTTTCTGACAGACGTCCTATTGAACAAGAACGGCACTGACATTGCTCAAACCTCAACGGGTAGGAGTTTTTCTCAGTTTTTGGGAGAAATGCTAAACATCTATTTATATACAAAAAAAATGAACTGAGAAACAAAACAATAGTAGCTGGCAGACAGCCCAGGTCAAAGCACTGCATTATGTAGACAAATCATCTCATGGTGCTTGGATGGAACGCAGTGACCGATGACCAGTGCAGCTTAGTGTCCGGTACATGAGCAGCAGACGAAATACTCAGCGTGAGATGTGTAATGAAGCGTTACTCATTTTCAAATATCTTTGTTGCTTTAACTGGACTTCCGTCGACCTCAGCCTTTGCCCTCATTTTGCAAATTTGTATGATGACACAACAATACAGTTTCTGAGTTCTGAATAATAATTCAGCATCATTTTGTTTCCTCTTAATTGACCATAACGAAAACAATAACAGCAAGCTCCCGTTAAAGCACAAGGAAAGCAGAGGGTAATTTCATTTGCGGAAAGGTCAATTCCTGTCTCTTCTTGGAAAAAAAAAATATATATATATATATAAATATATATCGTGCAAGCAGCATTAGACGACAAATGGAAAACAGGTTTGACCACATGGTGCAGAAACCCAGGTGAATGCTGAGATCCCTTTGAGTGGGACAGATCCTCTTGGCTAGGCATGCAATAGAGATGATGACAGATGTAAGGGGGGGTGGGGGGGGGAATGAAGACAGGCACACACCTTCCGTGTGGGGAGCAGGCAACGAGACCTCCATGCATGCGGCTGACTGGACCTTTCGGAAGGGCGGTCGGCTGGGCCCGCGCCGGTTCAGCTTGGGCCTGCCGGCGCCGTAGGGCTGAGAGGTGGGGCTAGTGCAATGTCCATTGACATGATCTGCAACAACAACTGCAAAGCGTTAGCGGAGAACAAACGGATCCAGGGCAGAACTAACGGATCCGGGGCCTAAATGTATCTGCAGCCATCTTGTTGGAATAAAAGAGGCGGATAAAGGCAGAGGGTAGGGGATGGGGGTGCCGTGGGGGGGGGGGCATTCAAAAAGCTTCTTTCAGATCGTGCCAAAAGAAATATTAATAAGGAAAAAATATATAGAAATAGAGCAGTAAAAGCAGTAGAAAATATAAATAAGCTGCATTAGTATTTCTGTGTGTTTCTTTGTAACCAGCAAGTAATGTCAGCAGGTGCTTAGTAAGTGTCTTTTGGCTGTAGACTGAACTGTAGACTGCATGCAAATTCAAACTGCCAGATAAAGGGCCGATGTCCCCATTCTGGCTCCCAGCCCCGCCTTCCTTCAACAGGATATCACGGCTAATTCACCGTTTATGGCATCTGTGTGTATGGCCGGACAAACAGTGTGTGTGTGTGTGTGCATGCGTGCGTTTTCCCTTTTCTGCACAAAGCTCATTAGGCCTTGGATGTCATGGATACCTTAGCGTTTCTTTTAAAACCTCTTTTTTCTCCCAAGACAGTAACAATGCAGCTACCCTAGATGTCACAGGCAGGATGACACCCTCCCTTTGATTTGTCAGTAGAGGGGAATATTTAGGCCATAAAGATGACAGGTAAATGAAATCTCCTACATGATTCTTCTGTTGACAAGTTAGTGCAGACCGGAGGTGCACTGTGAGCACCTCGTCATCTGATGGAACCTCAAAGTCTTCCCAATTAGGAAAGAACGACGGATTTCAGTCCGATAACGGGAACTCGGGGCTACTTCCCTGGCCCTTCATCAGTTAAAACGTTACAGCTCTCCTGCCAGACTACAAACACAGGCACAAAAACTACCATCTCTCAAGGTAATTTAAACAAAGCTGTAAAGAGTCTGAAGGCCAATGAATCAATGCATTAAGTCATAATAGTCACTGCAAGAGAGTCAGAAATGCCTTTCTGGCTTTGTGGAGCTGACAGTGCCATGAAAAATCATCAATGATTAAATGGTTATGAATAGTAGTAGCATTTCAGCAATGACAAACCAAAAAGAAAATCACACATAGGTACAGAACCAAAGCAATATTTCTAAATAAGCAAATAAAGTGCATACTCGAGTACAAAAACAGCACACAAGCATGTTATTCTGTTCACATTAAGAGTCACTGGGCAGATCATGGAAGAAACTCATAGTTTCTGCAGACCAAGAGATTGAATTAGATATACCAGAATAATTCATATTTCAGACAAAAGCAGCTTTAATAAGATAAACAGAAGCATAAGTATGCCTCATACAACCCCCAAAAGGCACAGATATGCCAATTATGCAAAAAAAGAAAAAGAAAAGGTAATTGAAAGAGACACTATTCAATAGGAGCCAAATCAATTAATAAATAAATGCAAACATAATGGCTTCTCAAAAGTGAATACCCAAGACTCCCCGACCAAGCTAGTCAAAACTATGTATCATTTTATTTAAAAGACACAGTTGGCTTATACAATATTTTAAAAGGAAGCTCAAGGTTTTAAGTCACCTGGCTCCTGACTCGACTGGGTAACTGTATTACTCAGTAATAGAAATGTCTGAACAAAACATACTGTATAAAAGCACTTATGCCCACCCCCCACCCCCACAACCTGAAACGTCTTTTTCGCTGTCGTCTGTCACACACAAACACAAAGTTGAGTTCTGTCTCACTCTCTCCGTACAGTGGTCCTGTCTGTTTATTGGGCAGGTTATTTATCTAGATTTTTCATGCATAATAAGGGACCTACTGTATGACCACCAGTACATGCTCTCCACATAACTGCATCTCCATCCAGCAAAACCACTACCAACACTGCTTCAGACACGCGATGCTTTAAAAATAGATGAACTGATATGATGCTTAGATTGATGAACTGATGAATAGGAGAGTGCTTGGTGGGGCAATGTAGCTAAGAGCAGCGATTCAGCGGGAGATTTCGGTTTGTTGTGACTTTGCAAACCTGCAAAAATGACTGTTAGTGGCCCAGTCAAGGTGCAGGGAGATTGCCTGGAGATATTTATGTGCAGAGCTAATGAGCATGAGATACGGGTGACCTTTGAAAAATCTAGCAGAGACAGATCTTCAAACTTAAAAACAGCCATAGAAAAATGTCACCAAGACTGTCATATGAGTGGAAAATAGATGAACCCAAAAGAACCAAGCTATTTTAGCTGGCAAACTTGAAAAAGAAAAACAGTTGTCATCCAATGATGAACCATAACTCAAATAAAGGTAAAATAAAAAATATAAAACCGACAATGAAAACAGCTGGCTTTAGCCTACCGTACCAAGACCAGTCTTAAGATCTGTCGGCAGACTTAACTTTCTGCCAGGTCCCTTAACTGAAACAAAGAAAAAAAGCAGCAGTTAATTGTAGACTAAAATTAAGTAAAAAAAAAAAAAAGAAAGAAAAAAAGCAAACAATGCAAAAAAAACAAAACATTTTTTTAATAGCCAAACAAAATTACCAAACAAAAAGAGGAATAACCATGACGATAACGTGCAGAAAGTGCGCACAAACATTCTCGCAGGCAAAGGTCATTGCGATCGCATGCTCAGCAGAGTCTGCCAGGACGCCCTTCTTCACAGCCACATAGAAATTCATTTGCAGACCTCCACTTCACTGTGTTTTGCTCCAGGACTTTGACACAAACATCATCAACTGTTTGCGCGTTTTTAAAAAGTGCATCTCTGTTTTATAATTCAGCCTGATGATTATCTGCAGTTGATTAAACTCCGAGAACTATGCACACATTTGCACACTCAAACACACACATACCCATACAGCTACAAGGATTAATAATCCATACTATAGCCTATATATTCAAAGTAATACCATCATGTTTGCCATCTGCGATATTTTGTAAAACTCTAAATGCATTCCACAAATGGTGTTCAGATTTTTCAGCAGTTACGCTGAACAAATTTATAAGCAATGTCATGAGTCAAGATAACCTTTGTTGATCTAATCATGATGGCTGAAATGTCATCAGTGAAACGTAATAGAGGTAGGATCTATTCTGTGGCACCAAACTTACTGGAAGTTAAAATTGAAAATTAGATAGGTTTGTTGTAATGGTACCAGGGAATTGTACTGACAGTGAGGGGTACTTGCATTCAATATCAACAAGGCACATCTGTTAGGAGAGGTACCTTCATTCAGAGTCTTCACGCTGTTGTTGGGTACAAGCGTGAGGCAGAATAATGCAAAAACCTCTACTATGGAGGAGCTCTACATATGATATATGAAGGCAATACACAGTCACTGAAAAAATTAAGAGACCATTCCATATTTTTAGACTAACATATTTTAAAACATTTTTAAATCCTGTTTTTGTTCATGCTTTTGCTGGCAGAAGGCTACACTAAGCAGCAGGGCGCTTCCAGGCTCAAGATTTCCAAGACAGCAGCACAAAAGAATAGGTTGAAGCAGGAGACACTGGGAACGACCAGAAACCAGCCAGGTAAAGGGCGGAAGCGACAGTCTAATGCCAGAGATGACTGTTAACTTTTCTCATGAATCGTAGGGTGACATCAAGTGACCTTCAAAAGGAACAGGAAACATTACGCTACAGGTGTGAAGTGAACTGCTAGGACAGTTTGTATCCTGAAGCAGGACTGAAGTCCCATAAAGCAAGGAAGATGCCCTTCATTGATGAGAAACAGAGAAGAACCAGGCTGGAGTTTGGACAAAAAAAAATAATATTCACAGACGCACACCCATAAATTGAGAAATGAGTGAAACAAATTGTGCTGTGGTCTCTTAATTTTTTCCACGGCAGTATAATAAACTTACCCCTAAGGGCAAACATTTCAATCATTTTTCCTATCAAACTGACTGTAATTGACTCAAAATACAATATAGGGGAACTGTTAAAGGAGGCAATTTTAAAGAAAACATGGATGGCAGGGGTGGAGGATGGCCTTGAGCAAAGAAAGAATTCAAAGCATTCAAGAGGGCCCCCGCCCCCGCCCCCTCCAGCCCGGACTGCGGAGGAGCACAGCGGTGGCTCTAGCGGACGTGAAGCATCGGCACAATGGCAAAAAAAATCTCAACACAGTAATGACCAAGACAGCATCACAGCTGGAATGGGATGCACAGGCTCAGCCGGCCATCTTATAAACGTAGCATCCTATGGCGATGCAGAAGCGCTGGCCAATCAGACGGACAGCCCCGCCTTCATAGTTATGAAGGCGTAGCCACTTAGCATGTGTGAGCCCTCAGTCTCCTCACCATTGTCCAGCAAGTAGAAGATAGGACTGCAGTGGTTTGCCTTCAGATTGGCCGTGGGTTTGGGCAGGCTGCAGTGGTCATTGTGAGGGGGAGATGGGTAAGGGACTGAAACAAAAACCCAAAATAAGGAAAAGCAAAAGACAAATGAAGGTTTGTGTTTGACAGGGACGATTCCACAAGGAAGTCTTTAGAGGAAGGTGGAGATCAATGTTGGGATATGGGTATAACACTCTAAGTAACTTGAATCTTCTTGTGTGTGCGTGTTTTTTTTATACTGTGAATTACAATTATACATTTTTATTAACTGAATTATAAGCATTACCAGTCGTAATTTTACATGTGGTGTTTTGTTATGGAATTGCGTTTAAGTGTTAAGAAAGCCAAACAAATATATTTTCCATAAGCCTTTGGGTTATTAATTCTTTTTTTTTTCTTGAAGTTCATAAATTGAGGAACCCTGTTTTAGTTTTAGTTCAGACAATTATACCATGAAGACTCTTAATTATTTATGAAGGATCTGTAGCCTGAAGCTATTCCAAACTGCTATGTCTGCATTACAATTTCTTAAAAGTCAAATAAACATACAGTATAATGTTGTTCTGAAATATCATAACATGGATGTTTTAGGCAACTGCTCTGGGCATTTTGCGCATTTTGTTGAATGTTGCAGCCTTACTACTACAGCTGAGTTTATCACCTGCCAAAGGTTAAGGAAAAATATTGAAGTAAAAGCGAAAATATTAAAGTGACTAACCAGAGAAAAGAGCAATAGCTGTATAGGAATGATGGATGCAAATGGGGGGCTGAACATTCCCAGGAGGGACGATGGTGCTTCTCCACCGGCCACAGGGAGATCTCTGATTTCTACAAAGAGCTAAACCATAACATAAGAGTCTGAAGCAGCTGGTGACCCCCTGAGGTACTGAGAAGGACCAAAAAAAAGCTGCAGCTTCCGCTCTCAAGCTTACTGCCCAAACAAAATTAAATTGAGATTTCAAAGATCTTGACTTTGAATGCACATTTGAATCACTATTCAATTTTGTACAGGAGTACTAAAGGAAAAGACTTGTGATAAGTCAGCATGATGACAGAGGAATGGGACGACTTCTTCTTCAGGGTTCTGGCTTCCAGGATTACTTCTAATGGGCAATCTCTCTTTCTAATTTATAACATGACACTGGGTGCATGGGAAAAAGGGTGGGAAAGAGGGCTAAAATTCTGGGAAGAAGGTCACAGATAGGACCTCCAAATCTGGAGAAATGAGTAAATACAGTGGAACAACCTACAGTAGTTACAGTCCCAGAGACTGTGTACATTCATTATTTACTGTAAGGTTTTCCTTTCTAAGGGTGCATATGTACTTCTCAGACCCTGACATGAAGGCAAGAAAAATATCACGTCATGAAATGTTCAAATAGAACTGTCTCATTTTGTGATTTGTGTGCAATTTTACAAAAAAGCAACAAAAACATTGACTTTTTACTGTCAAAAGAAAAATGACTGCATTTAGATCAGAGGATCAGCCCATAGCCAGTGCATTTAACAAAATAATAAGGAATTTGTAAAATCGGCCATCAGTCAAAACTCCCTGCGGTAATGTCCAGCCAGACCCCTCCCACGGGTTAAATATGGAACTGTTAAAACCTTTGTGAGGGATAGAACCGACCTTTTGCTAAACTGTGGACGTACTCGGGTTCTGTTTTGGTGCTTCCTGGTTTCTGAATGTGACTTGGACTTGGATTTGTTTTGCTATAGATTGTTTTTGAACTTGTCTTGTGTTTTCCACTCCGCCCTCATTGTGAATCATTAAACCCGCCAGCTCTGTTCGTGGAATTTGGAGCTGCGTTATTACAGAATGACACACAAGCGCACATACATCATACGTGGGTGCCGAACATGTAAGGTATTCAACCTTCTGGATCAGTTTTGTCTTTTCATTTTGCAAAAAAAAAAAAACATCAATCATCTGAGAGCCGTCATTCTCTGTCACAATCAACAGCTTAAGCGGATTCTTCTTTCCCACAAAGAAGTTTTCCCTTTGCTTTTGTTGTCTTTTAGAAGGAGTTGAGTCACAGAGACAGAGAAGAAGCAATACTAAGGGGGATTTAACCAAGTTGAATAAAGCACATCATATTTCACCTCATTTTCTTTGCCTCTGGCACACAAGAAATTACTTTGAAATTACATTTTAAGTAAATTACTAACGGATACATAAAAGTCAGAAAGCATGTGGGGATGCCTCATCTATATTCCATAATTTTGTCACTGATTTTCATATTACATAAACATATTACATATTACCATATTAATAGCAAACAATATGTGCTACTTTGCTAAATAAACTTTATAATAATGTGTTTAATTCAGTGTATGGGGGGGGGGGGTGGTTCAAAAATTCAAAAAAACATACAAACAAATACGGTAAGAATGCCACCTGACAATACTCCTCACAAAAGCTAATACATCATACTCGTGAAAATTGTGTATCTAAATTCACCATTGAGCCCACGTTAGCCTCCTGATAGCCATGGGTGACACTGCCCATACCCTATTATATGAAAGAGGTTAGGGATATGAAAGGCTATGGATATAATTGTTATGTAGAACAGGACATCCCTATTCTAACGGCGTCAATGATTTGTCTAACTTTCATATTTTTGTGGGGAGAATTTTAATTCCAGTAACATGTACGCAGTTTTCTGCCTTAGCATTGATTTCTGCCTCAAACACTATTACAGCCATTAGTGACTAGTTTGAGTTTAAATCTCACATCAAACTCACACATCCTACAGAGGGGAAAAAAATACTTCTGGAAGCATCGTGTGGCAGCGTTTCTTTAATGAAGGTTCCTGAGGTGAACTTTTTCAGCAGGCTAGGTGCAAACACATAACCTTTTCAAGCTCTTGCAGTTGTCATAGCCTCGAGCGCAGGCCATTTCAAATGTTTTAATGCAGCTGTAACATTAAAACTGAGCAGGCTAGCAAATGATACTAGGCATCATTAGAGTTATCCAGGTTACAGACATGACATGTGTAGGTAACTACCAAAATAAAGGAAACAAAGGACTATATAGTATATTCAAATCAGGCTCTTGCGCACACATCTGATTCCTGAGCTAATGAAGCCATTATCATCCTATCAGCAACATGATAGGCAAGCTTAGTTATCCATTATTTTGGCTAGACAAGGAACAGTGAATGTGAAAAATGGGTAATTATCGGAGTACACACAGCATGGGATTCCATGTGGAGGAATTTAACTTTTGGTATTTCCTAAGAAATGGTAGCCAGTGTGATGCTGGCATGGTGATGTGCAGGAACGATGGAGGGAATGTGGATGTGCATACTCCTCGAGTGTGATGTCCGTGTTCGTGACGACAGGCACAGCAGATAAGCAGCTCTGAATTAACTGACTAATTCCACTCCAACATCTGAGTAGGCAGTTTCAACAGGTCTAGTTCATAATGAGGGAGACACAGTGAATGAACCTGCATCTAATAATTCAACCTTTCACAGACACTGGGGAGGAGTCACATGGTCTGATGAGTCATGTTTCACCGTGTTCTCAACAAGTGCACAGGTACTTGTTACTCCTGATAATGAGTTTGTTAAGCTCTCTCGGTACAGTATGTGGTTGGTATGTCTGGTGCGGAGTACAATTTTTATAGTTGGGTTTAGGTCCATTCAACATATTTTTAATAACAAAAACAATTATGAGTGACCGTGTTCATTCTGTGGTGAAGAACTTATAGACTAATGAGTTTTCAGAATGATACTGACCTCATCCACAGGGCCTCTGAGTGGTCTGATGATTATCAAAATGATCAAAACCATGTGCAATAGCTGAAATGGTCACAAGCCAACTGTACCCTTAAGGGAGATTTTGGATTATGAGCCAGTATTTTCTGTCACCATCTGCAGAACACCAACAGTAGAATGTCTCACGGGCCATTGGTGCCCCGTGCCTCTCGCACAGTTCCAGACACTTGTTTAATTGGTGGCAAGGCACAATGAAGCTGTTTTGTTGGCTCATGATGGCCAACCGCCCTAATCAGACACTGCATGTTGGTCATCCTATCCATCCATCCATCCATCCACCCTTCTAACCACTTATTATGGTTATTCTTATGGGGAATCTGGAGCCCTATCCTATGCCACATATAGCACAAAGCTGAATGGGATGCCAGTCAATCACAGGTCACATACATGCACACACTGACATACACAATCATACACTATGGTAGACTCAGAGATGCCAATTAGCATAACTATGTGTTTGGCCCATACTGTATGTTGGTGTTCCATTTATTTTGGCAGTTACCTATTTACGTCATCGCATGCATCAAAGCCCGTATCGTTAAAGCCGCCGATAAGCCTGGAAAGTCCACACCACCGCTGGATACATCTTCCACGGGTTAAGGACATGGAAAATGCCAAAACACCGGGACACTCCGCTGATACTCACCCGTGGACATTTGGTCACCTTTTTGCCGATGCCCTGGTGAAGGAACTAAAAGTAAGACTGAACAATGAAGGTCACCAAGGACATCAATGTGCCGACGGGCAGAGTAACCGTGTCTTTGTGTAGATGCAGGTCATCAGGCTAGGGAGTGGTTACCTGAGGTGGGCGACCTGCTCCGGTCAAGCTCCAAAGACACCTGGTTGTCTGTCAGTTCTGTAAGGCCTGGTGTACCAAGCCGGTGGTGAGTTGTATATCCCGGTGCAGCCGATGTGCAAAGAGGGAGAGGGAACCAAAATCACTATCATCTTACTCATACCGGTCACTTTATAGCCAACATTCCATTGTCAAAATCAGAAACGTATCATTCTCATTCTTAGCCACGTTTCACGAAAATTGTCCAGCGATTTCATTTGTCTGAGGATACCCAGTCCTGTGATAAATAACATCTAAATTATACCTTTCTTTTTTTGAATATTTAAATATTCTCCAATTGATTGAACCCAATAACACAGTCAATACATAGAGGTTGTATTTCACTTCATTACTGAAAATGGAAATTCTTGAATAGACTGTACAGCATATGACATGGTGCGTTCAAACTGTGCATTCATACTGTATTCATCATTATATTTGCATGATCTGACAGTTGTTCTCATGCTGTACATGTTTATCCATTTCCTTATTTTTAACTGCTCACTTCTAATTCACTAAACTCACTGAAACTGTGGTCTTTAAAAGGAATTTTTACATTGGGAAATATCAGAATTATTTAATAATGCAGACTTCTGAACTGACATAAAGAAAATGCCGCCTATTCTCTGATCAACTCTTTTTTCTCATCTTACAGAATAAAACAGGAGAAAAGAGTTCTGGGGGTTCTTCCAGTACTGCAGTACACCCTGTGCCGGACCAGGCACTGCTGCGCATGAAGAAAACCCTTTTATCATTTTCACCATTACAGATAACCCCAGAATTTCAAAAAGGTGACTAAATACGATCAATTCGGGTGGTAAACAGCAACCGAGAAGGACATGCTGAAAAAGCATTTTAACCAGGGCCCAACTGGGGGCTCCTGGGCTAAAGTCATTGTTAGGGCCCTACCTACAGCATAAAATGCTGCTGCAACAAACCGAGAAAAAAAATAATAATTTGGGGACCCCCCCACCCGCCTACATCTCAAGACCCTGGGTGACAACCTAGATTAGCCCATGCGTAAGTCCAACCTTGGCTTTGGGACATGGTCAGTGGGTCACCTGGCCAAATCAGTCACTGGAAGAATAGCATAATTTAGAAAAGGGGCTTACTTTTAACAAAATGTTCTCAATTGCAGTTTACCCTTTAAAAGAATACTGCTATGTTTTTTTTTTGTCTTTTGTTCAGGTATAGAACAAACTGTCCTTCTCAGCCCTGATTTGTCCTTCTGGTGTGCTCCTCAACGGGAATCCATCCATTCCCCCCCCCCACCCCCCCGCACCCCTCCGCCTTCAGCGAGGCCGCACTTACTCTGGTAAGACGTACGAATCCTTTTCTTTGAATCTGAATAAAAGTTAGACAGGCCGCGCATGCAAATGTTGTCTGCCAGACAGCATGCCATCACACCGGCAGTCACAGTGGACGTATATGGGGAAAGAAGAGAAGTGTGGTGAGGAGGAGACAACAGTCACTGGGTCCAGAGGAAGGGGACCCCAAACTCAATCAGTCTCAGGATAAACAGGGGGACGGAAAGCCAACCAAGATCCAGTTATGTCGGGGGGACATACAGAGGCAAGGGCGGGATGTTATCCTATAATGAAAGCAAACCAATATTAGCATTTCAGTCTGATAGCCAAAAAGCTCACTTTAAGATTATGAGCTACCAGACTCCCAGGGGCAATTCTAGGACTTTATAAAGTGGGGGCAAAGAGGGGCCATAATTCACACAGAGGGGCCAACCATATCATTAGCTAATGGTATGTTTTGATTTGCTGAGTGACAGGGGAGCAGACATTCCAGGGACCAATCAGCTTTCACCTGGAGCCAGTGCCCCTGAATTCATCCTTGCAGGGATCCATTTGTGAAGGTTTGGCTGCATTAAAACACCCTCTACATGAAAATGTATAGATGTATAACTGAGGTTTTGGTTGGCAGAAATAATGAAGTGTGAGGGGACTGGTGGTCAGATACATCTCACGCTTTGCTGTTAGCTAAATCATATACGGAAAAAGCAACGCTTGGATGAAAGCAGATTCCGTGTGACAAAACGCACTTAATAAACACAGGAATCAGAAGAGCGTCACGAAAATGCTGGAAACTGGTCTTTATATGTATTTTTTTTTTTCAAATGGCTTATGAAGCAGTTGTACATAAAACCAAGAAATCATGTTGTGAAATTTTATAGTATTTTGCAACATGATTAAAGATTCAATCTGTAAATTTCAAATATTTTAATACATTTATATGAGCTAACTTACAGATTTATAGATATGTAACAGAATTTGCTGTAATACAATGCATAGTAATATATTACAAAGCCTCTCAAAGAGGCATGAATATCACAAGAGTAAAAGCCAGAAGAATTTAATCCAACAAAAAACACAGTGAGTCTTTCAACGTAAGACATCACAATGGCTGATATTATTGGTAACGTGAGTGATTATGGACATGTATAGAAATACGTGAAACACCTACACAGGATGGCATAACTAATACACACACAAGCAACATATCGACATAACATATGGCGAGTACTGGACACTCAACAGGGAAAAAAGCTCCACAGTCAACACAAGGAACTCAAACAAAACTGTGATATAGCCCAACTAGAGCTGCGGTAACGTGGACCTTTAAGAAAGAAAACTGGCTCCTTTATATTGGGCTAGATTACACGCACCTTTACATTCTAATCTGACCTAAGACTAGAATGCTCTTGCCTTTAACAGGAGCAGTTGACTTTTGAAAGTCTGGCCCGAGAAGCTCAAGATGGCCAATCTTGCTGGATAACAAAGGTACGTGATACACAAACAAATATGCTATTAGCACCTGTACAGTGAGTGGAGAGAGGAGTAGAAGTGGGACAGTAGCCAACACCAGCACCAGCACCAGAACCAGAACCTGGAACAGTGCAGATTAATAATGGGGATGCAGTTATCTACAGTGAGGTTGACGTTAGAGAGAGATGTAACCAAGCGGGGCAAGGAGAAAAGGACCATGCAAGGAAAGTGGGGAGCATGCAGTCTGGGTGAGTGTGCATGTGTGCCTGCAAGCATCAAACTATGCCTAGTTAGGGTAGAGAGTTGTGGTAGCACCTCAGTGTGCCATATATCAAGGGTTAGCGGTTCGAATCACAGCCTCCTCTGCCGCCCCACTTTTTATGTGTAGAGATTGCATGCTGTCCTATTTGAGGGCAGTATGTGGTTCATCGGGTGCTGATTCAAACCCAAGGTCACCAGAATAGTGATCTCACTTTTGGGACCTTAGCACGGCCCTTAACCCCAAATTGCTCCAGGGGCTGACACTGCATTTTTTTATTTTTAATACAGCATCTACTAAACAAATCGAACACAAAACATAAATGTATGCATGTTTGCGACTATATCTGTCTGCAATTGTGTGCATAAATAAATCTGGCATCATGTCCATCTGTTTACACGTGAATCTGCCTGTGTGAACTCCTGTATACATCCCAACTTTGTTTGTCAGTGTTTAAGAACTGCATGTTAATCTGAGCGCATGTTTCTTGCGTGGGCATGCACTGGTGCGTGACAGGAAAGGCAGAGCCGGAAATGCGGGACACATGCAGGCAGAGGCACGAGCCGCGTACCTGCGGCGAACTGCCTGCTCTTGCGCGGGGAGCGGGCCAGGCGCTGGTACGGGTCGTTTGAGCCGTACAGCTCCAGGGTGCTCATGCACAGCAGGACGTTCTTCTGGAGGTAGTCCACCACGACCAGGCCATTGCAGTTCCCCAGAGCCAGCCTGGTTACAGTCGAAAGCGGAAGTGAGCCTCGAATTAACCCACCAGTTACACTGAGAGCTCCCGGCGATGGCGATGGATGGCGATGAAGGACGAGGTGCATCTGCCCAATGGAGACTCATTAGATTGATTTTACCCTTGCTGCTTGTACATAATTTAAGATCTTCTTTCATTTCCTTCTAATTCCCCTGAATGGCCCCACCCACCTGCAGTATTGGGCCGAGCCTGTACTCTGTTACAGCTCATCAAAGGTATATTTGATGAGCTGTTATGCTTGTACTCAAACTACACTGTGCTTACAAGATATTTGATTGACAGCAGGGCTAGAGTATTATTAACCAGAACATTAAAAAAAATAGCGAAGAAGGAGAATAAAATAGGCAGGAGGTGTATAAATGCATAAATGAATAAGGTGAGGTCATTGGTTAACGTGTGGATGGATTCATAGCTCTGGTGTAGAGGAAGTGGAACAGAGGTGGCGACAAGGAGCCCAGTGACCTTTTAGAGTACGAGAATAAATAAAAAGTCACATGCCCAGTAAAGAAAAGAATGTCAATGAGGGAAGATTATGGGGTGGGGGGCAGGTGAAAACACATTACATAATACACAGGCAACAGTATAGAGGGATAATGAGAGCGAGAAGGAAACGGAAACCATCAGGCAGCAGGAGAAGAAGGTGAAGGGATTGCTGCTTACAGGCTGTAGGCGGAGTTTAAGTGGAGGCTGGTGATCTGCTGTGGGGGTTCCCCATCCACCCAGAGGAGCTGCACCACCAAGTCGGCCTGATAACCTGGGGGCATGCGAATCGGTCGGTTCTTCACCCTGGGGGGGGAGGTGGAGTCGGCAACATGAGAGAGCGTGAGTGAGAAAGCGCGTGTATGGGGATTTTCCCACTTGCTGTGGGCTTCCTCTGGGTTCTGCTCTCAGTCGCGTGGTTAGGTGACCAAGTGTTTCCAAAGTACTCATAGCATGCAATGTTGTGCACGCTCGTCCTGCAATTTACTGGCATCCTGGGGTGCTTCCTTGCCTTGTGTCTGGTGCTGCCTGTGAATGGCTCCAGTCCCCCCCCCCTGCCCGACTGGGTCAGAAGGAACTGTTAACAAACAACTACAGGAAACTGGATCCTTTCCATGGTAGAACAATTATAAAGTTGCCTTATTAAATTATACCCTCTTTCATTTTGGGCTCCGGTTTATCAGCTACCATTTCCTACCTGACCTTAGCAAAGTCTCCCCGACACCAACATAACATGAGAGAGTTCTGGAACATCTAAGAGCAATCTCTACAGATGCAATCTCCACAGGTTACATGGATCATAGCACTCAAAGGGACCAAAATGTAGCAATAATTCAGTATCGGTCCTGACTTTGTCACCCACCGGAGGAACTGGAGGGGAGAGATGTAATCAGCAACGGAGACAGGTCAGCCTCCCCTAGCCAGAAGCGTTGGGTGTGCTCTGTGGGAGACCGTGGGCCTCCCTGCCAACCGCCTGTCTCCCTAACAGCTGCATTTCCAGCTGCTGCAGATTGACTAACCTGAGGCAGGGGATGCTGTCTCTGACGCTGTCAGGGGTAGCAGAACCCGGACTGCCAGGGGGGTGCTGGGGGGAGTGTAGACTGGCGTCCAGGAGGCCCGTGTTGGCCTCCGTCTCCGACGGGGAGATGGGCTCCTCTACGTCACACTGCAGGCGCACCTCCAGAGCCTGGGGGAGAGAGCAGCGGCTTTTGACAGTGTCGGCCCCAGAGCCGCCCCCAGAGCCGCCCCCAGAGCCGCCCCCAGAGCCACCCCCAGAGCCACCCCCAGAGCCACCCCCAGAGGGGGATGGGCGCCCCGTGGTCACTCACGGTAATTTCAGTGGTGGCGTCGTGTCTGCTGAAGCGGTAGAGGATGACGTGGGCGGAGATGCCCACCACGCAGAATAGCCGGCTCTGGGGGCACCAACTGACCATCTGCACGGCAAAGGGGTCCTCCTCCACCAGCTCCGCCACCCGCCCGTCCCCCATCTTGGGCTTCTCGAACACCTTCGACGTCTTCAGCTTGTAGAGCATCTGCAGGGTGACTGGCAGCAGTGGGGAGGATTGGAGCGGGAAGCGGGGACACACTAATGCTAGAACATTCTATCGTGGTTTATAATTAGAACCACATGACAAATTTCTGTAATTTCCCCAGTGGCAAGTATCGGTCTTAAGCCACCCATTCACAATGGTACGACATCTAGGGGCTGATATGGCTCACTGTATCTCCTGTATCCCAATTAATTGTATTGAAAGTGCATCCAAATGGTCCAATTAAACACCCTCTGTTCCGCGATCTGCAGTAAATATGCATGTTCGGCAGAACTCTGAACCCCATCTGTGTACCTGAGGCTTCAGATTTTACGGGAACATCAGCATGAACAGCAGCAGAGACAACGGGACTCAAAAGCCGTCAAGCTGCAGCACGAACGCTAACACAAAACCATGCCCAAGAGGATAGGTAATACCACAGATCAACCTAGACCTAGAATATAGAATACCTAGAAACATGGTTAAGGGACAGAAGGACGGGTTTTGCCTTATTACTGTCATCAGTCGCTGTTCATTTTTTTTGTTTACCTTTAATGTGGTTGTCTGAATATAATGCCTTCTAATGACGTCAAAGATATTCATTTGCATGTTATTCTTTATATTAATGTTAATATTTATTTTGTATATTTAGTCATTTCAGTTCCAAACAACAAAACATTGCAAACAAGAGACAGCTAGCTATTGAAGACAAATGTTGTGTAATTTTACGTGTTGTCTCTACTATATTTGTTCAAATATATTTGGTTCATTTACTGCAAGAAAGGAAACTAAATACGCGAACAGACCGATAATATAATGATGAGACGGGAAATTTATACAAGCTTTGTACTGCATACCCAAATACCGCGAGCCGGCTTTGGAGTTCACAGCTCTGTGCTTTGTGACTTTGTGACAGTTTTGATTGTGGTGGAAAATGCCAGAGTGATTTTGCCTCCCCTACAAAGCAGTCGCTCACTACAGAAGGTCATGTGTCATTGGTCACACCCGGGGAAAAAAAAAAAGATTTTAAAGCCACACAGAATGACAGAGAATTGGTGCAAAGCTCATAGCGTCACACTGAGCTGATGAGAGCCAAACATCAAGCACTTACTGGCAGATGCGTCCCAAAATTTTATTGATCCATCTGCGTGCCTGTAGCAGAAAGACACAGGTACTGCTCTTAATTTTTTTTCTGAGTGAAAATGAAAAACCACAGAACATGTCTACGGAAAAAAAAGGACAGGAAACCCGAGACATTAATTACTCAATATAATAAGCTTTGTTATTTATTTAACACTAATTTTAACAATTCCCAGTAGAATGATTTAAATATATACAGCACCTCACATTAAGAACCCAAATGTGTATAAAACATTTCAGACAGGCTGATTACTTTCAGTCTCGTCTGTTTTCATCAGCATTTGGCATTTTAGATCCAGATGCTACAAATCCAGACCAGGATTTTGTTTCTACCAACCAGTTGAGTACTCTGTGACAGTGACTCTTTATGTGCAACTGGTTGGTAGAAACAAAATCCTGGTCTGGATTTTGATTTAGCTGGATTGCTACAGAGGTAGTGGGTAGGAGCTGCACTGCACATGGCTCTTAGGCAGTGTGCGAAATACCCGTCAATATTCGGGGGGGTCCCCATCTCCCTATTGTTGTGCAATACCGATCTTGAGACCCCCTTAAAATTTTGCTTTTGAGGCTCTCAGGGAGTCTTATGGGTTAATCGGGGGTGTCAGACCCCCCCCCCCCCCCCCCCCCCCCCCCCCCCCCCCCCCCCCCCCGGACCTCCCGTATTTCGCACACTGCTCTTAGGGACCCTTTACAAGCCGGCGTGGCATTTGGGGGTGTGAGGAAGTACTCACCCTGTGATGATGATCTCTGGGTAGGTCTGACCACCCAGGGTCCACGTGCCCCCACTCACTGGCCACTCCTGAAAATAAGAAAAAAATTACCCTCATTTCTGTAGGTTTAACTTTCAATTGAATGTTTACCTTGTTTGGGTCAACCCACCAAATGCAGTACCTGTTTCTCTTGTCTACTTTAGCCGTTAAGTGGTGAATCAGAAATGGCTTTGCTAGACCACTGTCTTTGGGGTGTGAGAGACCGTTAGGTCCATCACATTTGACATGCGTGTGACAAGTGACATGTGCTAAAGCAGCATCTACATTAACACTGGTCACACCTAAGCCACAGCTGAGAAGTGATCAAATAAGATGTGAGTTTATGAACATCGGGGTTGACAGGCGTTGTTGAGTAGGACAAAAGGACAGTCCATGGATTCACGGGTTGTTAAAAAAAAACTGAAACAGTGCTGCCGAATCCTGCCTTTGGATCTTTGCAAAAATCGCTTAACTTATTAATATATTCAAACTAATGTGCCCTGAAAGTTAATTCTCAAACTAAGCCCAAACTTAGTTAATTCTCAGGTGCACCTTGGCAGACCCATCATACCTTATGGCTGTAGCCCTGCTTTTTGTGTTTGGCTCCTATGGAATAGAGGACGGGTATAATTTCAGGCGGGCAGTCTGCGAAGTAGGCCGTGCAGGTGACAGGAGACTCGTGGATGTCCATGGGGTAGGGGTTCTCGAAAATGGGGTAGCTGCAGAACAGACGAAGGAAAATGCAGATGCGTGAGCACACTGTCAGAAAGGGTAAACACAGCCGGTCGATGAAACCACTAAAGCTGCCTTATTGTTTCAGCCATTTGCACAGCAGGGTAGTTCAGAGTAATTATGCCTAAGTACCTTTCCCAAGTCCCTCCTTATACCTGAAGTAGAAACCTATAAAGTAACAAGTAACCATATAATTTATTTAGCTATATAATTTATTATGTTGAGTTTTTGATTGCCTTCCATTGCTTTGCATGACACCCCAAAATAAATTCCTCATATATAAAAGTACATGTTGATAAATAAACCATTCTGATTGTGATATATTGCAATATACAAATGAGACCCATTAGCATTCAGTGCTGAAGCTAAAGGAAGACTGTTACATTTAATTGCTTAGTTCATTCTTTTAACCATTTATATATAGGCAGTCTCCACGTTACGAATGAGACCCATTCCCTAAGTTTGCCTTTAAGTTTAATTTGTAGGTAAGTCAGAAAAATAATAATACAGTACATAATAATGACGGTAATACAGCGATAATAAAAGTACACATTGTACTGTACTACACCTTGAGCCGAAGATTGTGTTCCTTATTATAATCCATTGTATTTAACCTGAATTTTTAGCATGATAGGCTTTATGGCAATCCATTCAAAAGAATGAGTTTTCCATACTGTAAGTTGGAAGTTCTTAACCTGGGGATTGCCTGTAGTTGGATATTTTATACATTACCTATAATGTATGCCGCCAATAAGGATCGTATTGTAATCAGAAATGCATTTCTCAACTGTGCCACTGTTAGTTGCTATTTGTATTGATTAAGAAGGAAATAATTTGACTCACACAATTATTTTGTTGCATTACATCTGTGATCGTATTTGTTGCATGTCTGTAAAAGGTGAAAGGATTTGTGTGTGTGTGTGTGTGTGTGTGTGCTTGCATGTATGCATCTGGAGGATATGAATGTTGCATTTAAGGAGCATATTTTACATACTTTTTCCATTTTTGCCTCTGGTATTGACACTAATTAAGGAAATTAGCCTTCCTTTCCCAGTGATCTGAAAGTATGAAATATGAAAAAGCAAGAATCAATATATCTACAGCAGGGGTGCCCAATACGTCTATCGTGATCTACTGGTAGATCGCAAAGGTAGTGTGGGTAGATCGTATGGCAGGATGAATGACGCGTTCAACTGCGCCAGCTGCTGCAAAACTCCAGCAAGCGACCGAGTGGCCTAGTTAGCCTACAATTTATTTCTACTAAACTTAAGAAAGGGTATAAAAATGAATGGGGGAGCTGGACCAAGTAAGAAGCCAAAAACCTACCACTTCCATACGGAATGGAAGGAGGAGTTTTTTTTTCACAGTGTCATATTCGAAGTGTATTTGCCTCATTTGTCAGCCTACCACTGCTATTCCGAAGAAGGGAAATGTGGAGCGGCATTTTCGGACTTTTCATAGAAACTACGACATTAACTTCCCTCCGAAAAGAGAGCTGAGAAAGAGAAAGGTGAAGGAACTAAAATCCCAGTTCAATTCAAAAATACTTTATTTATCCCAATGGGAAATGAATAAAAATTAATAGTAATAATAATAAATAATAATATTAAAGAATACTCCGTATTTTTATACATAAATATATGTTGTGCATTTTTATAGGAGCATATGACTTGGTCATTTATAAGTAGCTCGCAAGCTGAAAAAGTGTGGGCACCCCTGGTGTACAGGATCTGCATTATGAATGAACCTGGTTCCTGCAGGATTCATCAGTCTTCATGTTGTATCAAGCCGTCTTACTGCTACTCAGCTGAAGGTAGCAATGTAGAAGGAACACATTTCTTTTTACCGCCCTATGAGAACGTCTAAATGTTACGCAAAGAAGTCTCAAGTGTGTCCTGGCAATGTTGCTCTCATTTTGGAGAACTTTCGCCCAGAGCGACTTAAGATAAATTATTTCTCAGAGCTGTCTGGGACACTGGGTGACATATGGTTCAGTGGGTTGCCTGGTAGTCTCACGCTCTGCAGGTTTGTGCAGAGTTCGCAAGTTCTCTACACAATCTCCAGGTGCTTCCTTTAGTGTATTCCAGATTCCTCCCGTGCACCAAATTCATTTGTTTTGCTGCCTCTATGTTGTCTGTAGTGTGTGGCCTGTGACGGACATGCTCCGCGCTTCTGGGAATAGCCTCTACCCTGACTGTGACCCTGGACTGGATAAGTGGCTGTAGAAAAAGAAATTGGGACATTTATAGCAATTTAACTTTCAGCCAACTTTGGGGCTCATCACTGGCTGAATTTCGCTCGGCATTTTCCCAGCGCGCCGTGTCCCTTGCCACCTGCTTATCACACATTGAATGTTTTATGGGATACCGTAGTCATGACCATCCGCATCACCGAACCATGCGGCCTGTACCCTTCGGAGCTCCTCGCTCGTCAAATGCTCCTTTGACAAGGAAAGGATGCGTGTCTTCCTGAGTCAACAAAGGCCCCATACAATGCTGCCGGTCACAGGCTATTTCCCCCGTCCCTTTATCCTCTGCACTTACTTGCTCTGTGTCAGATCCACCACAATGAAATCCTTTTCCAGTAATACCGCCACTGCGTAGGGTTCTTGGACTTCTGCAGCCAGTCATTGAAAACGCAAAAACACCCAGTTTAGCATGCCGACAACTGCTAAGACGATTTATGGCTTAAAGACATTAAATGACATGACAGAGGCATTAAAGTATTTCTCAGGAGACAGAAACTCCCATATGAATTACTTCATATTCACAGACTAAAGTTACTGCAAGATGAGTGGCGCTTAGTAGGAGTTGATAAATTATAACACTTGTCAAAATAATAAAATGTTATCGTTGTATTTCAGGTGTCCTTTAACATTACTAGCTTTTTACAAACATTCACAGGTGTATATTCACTGCCACTGAAGACCACTAAGTACACCATCTGTGAAAAAAAGGTATCACAATCTGAGTCACGCTGTAGTACAAACTGCACCTTGTACTCGGGAATACTGATAACAACATGCCGTTAGATACGCACCGTTGGAGTAAGGGGTCTCGCACAGAACCAGGAACTCGACGATGGGGTGGTCCATCTCCAGCGCCGTGATAGACTTGCCGTGCATGATGGTGAGAGTCGGCCTCCTGTTGGCCTTGTCGTAGGACAGCCCCCCGGAAAATATGATGAAGGGCTCGCTGCAGAGGTAAAGACCAAGCCGTTACCTCCCTTCACTCTCCATCTCATTCGGCCGCCTGCTTCTTTAGTTATGCAGAATGTGGCATTTCGATTATTTCATGTAAGCAGAGGAAATAGCACTTCTATACAGTACATGGACTTTAAGCTACAGAATGAACCGAAAAACGAAAAGTTTCTCTTTGTCGGTGGAAAAAGTAAAAAATGTTTCTCATTTAGCCTCTTTCAGCCTCTGCCTTGTTCTGCACAATGTCAATATTTTTATATAACGTGTCCTTTAAAATAAAAGAAATCCCAAAATAAATCTGGACCCGGAGCAAAGAGAATTCAAGCGAGTCGCACGTTGTGTCTGTAACGCTCACCTGTTCCTCGTGGTTTTGTACTCCACCTTCAGTATCGGTTTGCAGGATTCTGGCTTCCTCCCGTCCCGCTGGGTCCTCCCTGCAGAGACAGAAACATTAAAAGGCAGCATGCAAAAGGGAGTCCAACTTCATAGCACGTGCCCTGCGTATGTGTGTGCGTGTACGCGTGCTGGGTTTGAGATTGCGTGACTTTACATTCCTGCATTTCAATGTCTCTTGTGCGGTGATATGATATGTAACTCAGCTTTAGGGCGGAAAATTCTGGAGTTACTGAAGCTGACGAGCATGAACCAAAAACAGCTTTGCTCAGCAACACAAACTGGACACACACTGTTTGCTTGCAGTCACAATACACAAAATACTGAAGAAATATTTATGCAGCTGTCAGGTTATATCTAAAATTTTATTACACAAAATACTACAAGAAATTTGAAACTTAAAAAATATATATAATTAATGCATAAAGGCCTTATGTCCATGAATGTCCAACAATCATGTTATAGATAGATAGATAGATAGATAGATAGATAGATAGATCATAATTAGTATACTTTTATTATCCCTGAGACAGGTAGATGGATGGATGGATATCGATAGCAATGTACTGTTTTAACAGTATTTTACTATTCTAAAAGACCAAAATAAAGAGACTAATTAAATTGGCCAGAGATCCTTTATGACCTTCACAGTGTGACTTTCATCATCTAGCATTTACAGAGGGAGCCGATGAAGGAGCCACACGTCCGAGTGCCGTAAATGAGTCTGAGAGCCAGCGCGTCTCGCCCGTGATGCCCTTGGCTTCCTCCGAAAAGGCGACCGCCAGACGGCACGTCCCAGGACCGCCTGCCGTGCCAAAACGCCCCTCCTGGCGGTACCCTCGCAGCAGGGAGAGCGTCTGGAGAGCCCCACCCTGCCCCCCGAACAGTGACCCACGGATCGGAGACCAGTTACCAAACTCCACCAGGCTCTGCTCTCCCAGTGTGCCCTACTTCACTCTATTTAGACTCTGTTTTACCTCAGAACAAGGTACGGGGTCATGAAAAAAGGTCGAGCTAGGTGGTAAAAACAAGCTTAAACTTCAGGTCACATGCTATTAAGAGCAGACATGTTCAACAATATGCAGTCAGTCCCCAGGTTACAAGTGAGATCCATTCCTTAAGTCTGTCTTTAAGTTAAATCTGTAGCTAAGTAATAATACAGTACGTAATAATAACTATTATTATACAGTAATAATAAAAGCAGTTACATACAGTACTGTACTGTACCTCCAGCTGACGAAACACGTAAGCCATGCCGTGCAATTTTCAAAATGTTATGCGTGTGTTCTTTATTATAAACCACTGTATTTAACCTGACTTTTACTATACTAGCCTTTATGGCAGTCCGTTTGTAAGTACGAGTTGTCCGTAAGTTGGGTGTTCTCAATCTGAGGGCTGCCTGTAGTGTCTTTTGATGCTCCTCTTTTTCTTTTTGTTTCCCTAGACTCTGTCCTTTCATTATCCTTGATTCGTGAGTCACATCGTGGTGCTGTGGGCGTGAAAGACAATGAACGCCTCGCGTCTGCCGACGCCTGGCATCGACAAAATCCCGGGCCTCTTTTCAAGTTGCCGAAAAAGCAGGAGACACGTTTGGTCGCTCTACCCCTGCTTTTTGAAGAGTCGTGGGGTCTTGCCATTAACTCGACGTTCGTCATCACACACCGACTGATCACACGCCTCCCCCTCCTCTCCCGGGGAGGGAGTGCTTCGTGGAGGGCCGGAAACTGGAGAGGGTGAGCCAGTTTGGGGGACTAGAACCTGGCAGATGGGCCGGAAGAGGAAGGAGGTCCTACCGTGGGGAAAGGTGAGCTGGAAGGGCTTGGCAGTGTTCCTCAGGCTCCACGTGGTCAGGCTGCCGTCGGAGTGGCTGCACATGAACTGCTTGCCTTCGTGGTGCCAGCTGACAGAGTGGATGGCCTGAGGAAGAGATGGGGCAGAAAGAAGAGCAACTGGAGTCATGGATCTGCATCTGAAGACCCAGCCACACCACCCACGAAGCCAACAAGACAGTCGGAATGCAACAGTCGGCTTAATGGCAAACCATGCCCTCGCCAGCATGCCTAGATGTATATAAGTCATCATTAGGGTGTTCCTGGAACTAGCATCTTTAGGCATGACTCAGGTACGGATACTGTAAAATGCCCCCGACTGCTTTTATAGCAACAGAGGCCTTGTAATCTATTTGATCTTTAGCTGAGGTTCCTTAATAAAATTCCCCCGTGCATAACGTCTGTGACCACATTAGATATCTTTGACATTGTTTATACTCCGTTGTGCCAAAATCCATTACGGGGAGCATATGGAGGAATTCACTTTAAAAATAAGGGCCTCGGGTTTCAGAGGAGATGCTGGCGTTAAAAAAAAATCCAAAGAAAAAGCAAACATTATGGTACATGATATATGGGAATAATATAATTGTACAATGAAATAAATCAGGAAAACCATGTTGATTCTTGATTGTAAAATCAAGAAGAAATGTAAGGAGATGGGTTTCTACTATGGGAGATTCTAATATGGAAAATGTAAAATTATGGATGGTAAATTAATACTCTGGGTAATGGGGCAATATATACAGGAACTGGAAGGTGATATTGCGCATTATTTAAGAAGTTTCTGGTTTATTGTTGTATGTACTTCATAAGTTGCTCAGTCATCTGCCCCCTGCAGACTGTCAGCTGACTATACAAATAAAAATAGCAGAAAATTAGACAATTAAGACACAGGGAACATATGCAACACAGACAATAGCTAAAATAAATTATGAAATGACACAATATGACTCAAAACTTTGCATCACAAAATAGCAAAAGAGTAGTGATTAGTGAAGTGGAACCTGACCAGTAGCTTGATACACAGTGTACTTATATTTTGAATTTGCGTTCAATGTGTTTATTCTTCAGAACAACAAGGATTGTTTAATTATAATTTGTGTGATTAATTCAGACGAAGTCCTTTCATGTTTTCCCGCTCAGTCAGATGAATCAGAATGCGCTGGGGAATAATCAGAGCCTACAAAGCCTATATGAATATAGAGAAAGGTGTCGGCACATCTTATCTCTGAAATATGATTGCTTTCCTGCATAAAGGAGATCCCATGCAGGGAATCAGAGCTCTTCCCCATGCCGGATATCCCGCTGGCCAGCGTGAGCCAAAGTGATCTATTTATCTTCATACATTTATTCCTGAGCACTTCCGCTGCGATCGCATTTGGGTCCTTTTTTTCTAACTCCTCTATACGTCAAGATAGTTGATAACCCTTGATTGGAGTCCTTTGTTTTAGCTGTATTGCAGTTTTTGTGTCATTTCATAAGCAACAAAGAAAAGAAGCAACCCATATTGTTTTATACTCATGTAAGACAAAAAAAAACATCCGTTTATCTATCCATCCATCCATCCATCCATCCATCTATCTATCCATCCATCCATCCATCCATCTTCCAAGACGGCCATGGAGACCCAGAAAGGAATGCCAATCCAATGCAGGGTAAATATTCATATATACAGCACAGTAAGGGGAACTGAAGGACACTAATGCACCTCAATACATGTTTTTAAAATGCAAAACAAGAACAAAAATCTAAGTAACTAGGGGTTAACATGCAAAGACACACACATTGATGCGAGAACAGCAATGTAAACCCCAACCATGGAGATCTGAGACTGCAGTGCTACTGACCTTCCTGGGCAAACCCAGATGAATGCAGGAAATACAGATTACAGTGCGACAGCTATGAGAACAGTCATATGTATGCTTCCGCTAAGTTAGGGGATGGGGTATGCCAGTAGACCGGATGTATGGTGTGGGGATATTTCATACGTTATTTACATCTATTTACATTAGGGGGCGATGTGGCTCAGCAGATTAAGACGTAGTGCCCCATGGCTGGAAAGCGAGTGGTTCAAGTCCTGTGGTTGGCAGAGTGACTTAATCGTTGGGTTCCTGAGCAAAGCCCTTAACTCCAAATGCTCCAAAAACTGGCTGAACCTGCTTTCGCAATAGTAGGTCACCTGCTAAATATGTAAAATAAAAACATACCATCACAGTCTAATGAAAAACACAATATCTCCAAAAATCCTTTTTTTCAAGAATGTGGGGAAAAAAACGCATTTTCTCAGAAACTGCTTTACAAAATAAACCATAACAGAAACCTGTCTTTTTGCAGCTACTGTATCAATGAAGGGTTTCATGTTTGAAATGGACTGATGTGGATTGTTGTCAGAGAGCCATATATGTCAGTATCAACAAGATACCAACTAATTCGCTTTATATTCACAATTAACAATGATGTTAGTCAGAGCTATCTAGCTCTCAATGTTAAGCTGTTAAAATGAGCAATATAAAGTAATCCATACAAACAGCCATCATGAATACAAATGTTAACTAGTACAAACATAAATACTCCATCTATAGTATTCCATTAATAGTAAAAATACACAATTGTCAAAAAGTGGAAATATACAGTTTTCATTGGACAGACACTTTTGTCCAGAATGACATATTGGTTGAGCCTAATAGCACATTACAAATATATGGCTGTCAATGAGTCAATTAGGCATGTGCAGCTAAGCTTAACACTCAATGAATAACAGCTTTCAACAAATCCCCAACTACAAGTGTAAGCAGTACTGGAGCAAGAGCTACACAACACCTTTCAAAATAGCAGGAAGCTAATATGACCTACTACTCAAATCAGTAACAACATGAAGATCCTCAAAGCAGTCCAAGGTGATATCACTAGATCTTCAAAAGCAACACCAAAGGTATGTAACCAGTGTACCTGTATTGCAGGAATATTAGCTAACTTTCTATGTCACGTTAAATTAGCTAATATATTTCTGTCAGTGTTTCCCAATCCAGTCCTTGGGGACCCCCAGACAGTCCATGTTTTTGCTCCCTCCCAGCTCCCTGCCAGACAGTCCATGTTTTTGCTCCCTCCCAGCTCCCTAAGAGGGAACAAAATTGTGGACTGTCTGAGGGGACCCCGAGGACCGGGTTGTGAAACACTGATTTATATTATTTTAATTTATATTAATGCATTTTCTTGAATTGGAGATGCAAGACCTACCTCGTCGTAATAGATCCTGAAGTCTGCTTTCTTGGCCCGGAGATCCCATTGTACCACTGTGCCGCTCTCGAAGCCGATGAGTAGCTATGAGAGATGGTGGAGAAGCAGCAGGAAGAAAAGGATGAAATGGGTGACCAGAATCTGATAAGAGGGCTATAAACGAAATCAGGTTATGCAATGCATTTCAGAATACAAGTATATGGATAGTGATTCCCACACGGATGAAGCGATTGGCCCTATAACAAGAGGGTGGGTTATAGCACATGGGCACAAGGACATCATATAATCAAACAAGTAATTGCCTCTGATAGATAATTAAAAATTGAATTAAAATTAAAATCAGATCGCTTTTAGCCTTCAAGGGTCATGATCTTCCATCAGCATTCAAATGGGTATTGGCCAGTATCTGAGAGAGGTGTTTTAGTGGATTTGGAATATGAGATCAAAAAGTTTTTCTCTTTTTTTTGTCAACTTTGAATGAACTCAAACTTTATTAATGGGTCAGGAGAAATTGGATGCACATTTTATGACATATTAGCCAGAGGGTAACATAATTACGCCCGGCGTCTCATTCAGGACTGACACTTCCACTATAAAGGCAACTACCAATCCATCCAGTAGTCATAGACAGAAAATGACCTAAATTGTTCCCTTGAGTAGGACGCTTAACCTGAATCTCACCAGCAAATCGGCCACAAAAATGTAATTAAATATAAGCAGCTGTGCAAACCAGCAATACTGTAAGTCACTTTAAATAAATGTGTCAGCCGGCAATAAAATAATAATTAGCAAAAGACAGACTCAGCTTGGGGCAAAACAGGTACAACAGGATGGCAAAACATTATGGGAGACGAGGAGATGTCCAGCTGTAATGCATCACACGAGTGCAGCTGCGTCGTTAAAGTGGCTAACGATACTGCGCACTTCATGGGACGTGCGAAACCAATGAATAAGACGCCCAATTACAAACATATTAACACCTTCGTTCACACAAACCATCCCCATACTTATATCTTAAAAAGAGAGAGAGAGGGATTGCTAATCCATTTTGTATGTAGCTAGATAAACATAGCATCGCCCTATATGTCCCTCAGTGTGCTGACGTACGCCCACACTGCAACTCACAACACAGACACATGGAGAAGATTCTCACTGAGCAATCACTGTACAATCCAAAATGTTTTACAAACATTTCTCCTCTGGCATCATTTTGATATCTATATATTTTTTTCCTCACACCAGGCGAGGTGCTGTAGACACCCTGGAAAATCAATTCTTTAATGTTCGCGCTCATGACCGATGCCTGAACCGAAGCAGTCTGACTTCCTCGCTGTAAAGATAAGGGATCCAGCTAAAAAATAAAAAAGCAGAAAACGATCGGTGATTGTCAACCGTGTTGTTGAAATATCCCTGAGAGCTAAAGCGCTTGGATTTGTTCACGACCGCTCTGAGAATAACAGGTGACAGTTACAGAAACAAAGTGGGGGGAGGATTTTGCCCCCTCCGCACACTCACCTTGCCCTCATCACGTGGGCTGTCACTCAGGTGAACCACTGGTCCAGGATGCGTTTTGGTTGATCTTTAAATAAGATAAAAAGAAAAAAAAGCAATTTTTAAGTTTATGGGTAGTCTATAAATACTGGAGAGTTCTTCTTGATTTCTCAATAGCCCTGGGAGAACACATTTCTGACAACATTATATTACATATATTGTTTTTATCCATTCATCCATCTTCTGTAACCACTTGTCCTATTAGCGGTCACAGGGGGTCTGGAACCTATCTCAGAGGTTACAGGTACAAGGCACCAACCCATCGCCGGGCACACTCACCCAGGATGGGGCACCAACCCATCGCCGGGCACACTCACCCAGGATGGGGCACCAACCCATCGCCGGNCATCGCCGGGCACACTCACCCAGGATGGGGCACCAACCCATCGCCGGGCACACTCACCCAGGATGGGGCACCAACCCATCGCCGGGCACACTCACACACTGTTCACTCATGCATGTACACCTATGGGCAATTTGGTAACTTCAATTAAGCATGTTTTTGGAGTGTGGGGGATGGGAAATCAGAGTAGCTGGAGGAAACCCCATGATGACACTGGGAGAACATGCAAACTCCACACACATGGAGGTGGCTAACCCAGACTCGAACCCTGGTCCCAGAGGGATGAGGTAACAGTGCTAACCACTGCACCACCATCCATCCATCTGTTCTATTATTATTATTATTATTATTATTATTATTATTATTATTATTATTATTATTATTATTATTATTATTATTATTATTATTATTATTATTAGTTTTGACTCTTCTCTTTAGGCATGCTTACTCTCAGCAACCCACAGAAGAATCTAGCTGTACGCCATGTCACACGCAACGGAAAGGGAAAAGCGTTTCAGGAAGACATCGGAACAGTTCCCAGACACGGCTACTGTACCTGCAGGCGTCTCATTTCAGAGCAAAGCAGAGGTTTTGTGGGGTTTACATGGTTCTCAGAAATGCCTCCCCCCCCCCTGTCAATGATGAATGAAAGAGGGAGCGGCAGACACAGAGACGGAGCTAACAGATGGGGCTGCAGAACACGGGCTCTGCTCGCTCCTTACAAGGGCATTCAAAGTTTGTTTTGCACAAATCTACAGTTTATTTTAATGGCAGCTTGTTACTTAGTGACTAATTTTCTTTCCATTTATTATCACTGTGGCCTTGCATTTCAGCATAAGACTAAGATACATTGAACATATGTTATTGTCAGTATAAAAAGACCAAGGATGTAGAAAAGGGAAAGCAAGGCTTTTAAAAGCAATGCTTGATTGCAAGTGCAGGAAAACATTAACCTGAGCGTGAATGTTAACAAAGATAATGACAGAAGAGACTAGCTAATGAGCACAAGCTGACAGTGAAGAGATTAATGCAGAGAGTACGGAGTACCTCTGCCCTGCTGAAGGGTAACAGAGTCACGCACAGCAGAAGGTAATTATGAGTGAATATTCATTTATAGTGTAGGGTTTATGCTGGACATCAATCTGGACGGAAAACAGGCCCAAGGGAGATCTGCACCACTCGAAAGCATTCCTAATAAGATCATAATTCCTGCTGAAGTCTTAATTTTGTTTGTATTCAAGCAGAATTAACATATTAACCACCGTGAAGCAAAAAAAAACACTAATAATACTAATGTTTTCTCATCTAGTTGATGTATTGTTGTATCCTAGAAATTTCTTGTCAACTCCTTTTCCCTATCACATATTTGTTTAGGTTATTAACTGTGCTTTCCAAATGAGGGATTTCCCTAGTTAATTTGCAGTTATTTATTTATTTCCATTTAGTTCACTCATTTGTAGCTTTTGTATTTCATAATTTTATATTTCTTTCTGTCCTTGCTACTCGCTCATCGTGTTCTTTGCCTGTCATACAACTTACTCTCACCAAGGCCGTCTGACCCCCCCGGCTCCGGGAGTCTGTATGAAGACCATAGATAAAGGGGCTGTTTCCCTCAGGGGGGGGGGCAGAGACAGACACAGACAGACACTGAACCGGCCGTGTGAAACATCTTTCTGTAACATCTTCATTCTGTCTGAATAAACTGCTTAAGCTTAAGGAACCAGCCTCAGAATTCGACTCTAAAAGAACCTGAGGTTTCACTGAAAAGAAATCTATCACAAAGAAAGCCAAAATATTATATAACATAAAGTCAGCTTTTTCACAGTTGTGTACACACCACAGCGAAAATTGAGGTCATAAAACAAAAATTTAAGTCATCAAAACACTTGTACAGAAAGCATAACTGTTTGAAAGCATTATACTGTAATGTGAAATTTCGTAAATATTCATGTTATGGAGCAGCAGAATCGCACACTAAGCCAGAACACATTTTATTAGAAGTCTGCTATTTTAACATTTTCCTCCTGCTATAGATATTCCACATTTAATTCTGGAAAGTATAAATAATTTTAGGTTGAAAACACAATTTTTACCGTTTTGGTGAATAATACACAGACCAGTCACGATGACATACTTATAAGATGAAAATTAGCATTAACAAGTATTTAAAATACAGACTTAAATGTCAAAAACTAATTTCATGTTCTGTTACAATGAATATTTATGAATATTATGTAAAATTCAATTTGGAATTCGTTTGACGTGCTCCCGAAATGTCTCTTTGTTCCCTAAACCTTCAAATGACTTTCAAGCAAGTGTAAAATTCAGCTGTCCCAAGGCCTCAGATGTTTCTCAAGCTATATCAAAAAATTCAAGTTTAACTTAAGTTCAAAATTTTTCTGAATTTATTGTGATAGAAGCCAAAAAAAAACCCGGCAAATAAACCAGTACCCCATCCCTTGAAGACAGATGAATGGATATACAGAAGAAAAAAACCATAAAGGATTATTTTGTTTACTTTTGTTGAAAAAGGCCACTTAATTCCTCCAAAATTAATATAGTTATGTCTCACCCTGCTCAAAAAATTATCCCAATATTGATACCTCATAAGTTAATGTTACACTTTCCTATTTAGCTATTATCCAATACTAGCTAGGATATATTCACGACTTTGGTACATATGAAGAGAAACAGTAGTTTCATGTGTTTCTTTCAGTATATTTCAGCAGATAGTCTTATGTTTCTGGAATATCTAGTATTTCTTTACAACTCATAAAACCTGGAAATATTTTTTTAAAAGATTAGAATATGTTGCAATAATTTCTGCTGTATTTTTTTCTGAAATGTGAAAATAATTAATCCCCAGAAAGCATTTTATGTAAGACATATACAACATGTGGGAGTTTAAGACACTTGATGTGAGTGCTATGTAGAGCTTAATACAAAGAGGGCTGTTTTCAAACTGTCCTACTTATACAGATAATGTTACTGCCATGATATGATATAATTACCTGAACAGGAAAACTGGGTTCCACCTCACCTGAAACTTGCTTGATTTTTTTGAAACCTTACTTTTATCTTATTTTTCCTTTAGGATAATTGTCTTATTTCTCTGGTTATATATTTGAGTATTGCCTTATTTTTGTTATTTGCATATATTAGAAGGGCTCTAAAAGTTGAGTCATGGGAAAATCAACGACGAAACATCATAAATATGCAGATTTGTCTTAATCTGCATTCCTTATTAGGAACAAATTTAATTTAACTTGGAGTAAAAGAGGAGCGTAGCTGGCTGTTCCAGTTACCAGGGACACACACGCAAGCTGATTCCACATTACCGCTGCGTCGTTGTTTGTCTGTTTTTAAATAAATCCAAAACATATTTAAAAACCAGAGAATTAGGGTGAAAGTCTTGTAAAAGTAGGTTTCAAGTTGGATAACTAATTGTTAGCTTCAGTATTAAATTTGACACATTTAATCACAGTACAGATTAGGTCAAATATTAGACTGACTGGCTAGATTTTGCGGGCAATCTGGGGTTTTTGTTTGACCATCCACATATTTTTATCAGAGACTTTCTCATTCAAAGGAAAAGATATATTACAAATCTATATGTGTTCTGTGGTTTTTGTATTATAGAATATTATGCAGCCAAACTGGCCAATCAGATTTGAAATAAAAGTGGAAAAAAAAGGTTTTTCTTATTGGCACAGAGAAAATCTTAGAGGAAGTGCCCCCTTTGGTTCCCTCCCCCTCTTACAGCTGGCCATGGGACAGGATCTGTGAGACCAGTTCAAAGAAGCAAGTGGATTAAAGACTTAAAGGGGCGCCATATTTCCTAGAGACAGCTTAGCTGAGGCAGGGTGAGCAGAGGCCCCACTGGAAGGTCCATCACGGCTATTATGGCCAGTGTGTCACAGATCATCCCGCAGCTAAACACCAAAACACACAAGCAGCCCTTGTGCTCTGAAATGCCTGTCAGATAATCTCACGTTTGTTATCACACCCTGGAAATGGGAAATAAGAACATGCAATTTAATGGGTCAGAATGACCCACTCCGCAGAACAGCATGTGTGCTGGACAGACGCTCATACTTCTCACTTCTGCACCTAGAAAGTCTCAGAACATCTCAAAATAAAGGGTGATGCGAAAGGGGCGAGACCTCAAACTCGAATGCTACAGCATCCGTGATGTGATGCAGTTTGCAGGAAATGTATCATCGAATCTTCCTCCCATGGTTCTTGCTTTCCTCTCGGTCCATAAGGTGCCTTATGAGCATAATCCCTTGGGAGAAGACTTAGACTGGGAAAGAAGTTCAGTCTCAGTCTCAGGTCATCATAGGTTATTCACCCAGTAACCACTAATGTGCTTGGGGATATTGGTTCAGTTATATTCTGTACACAGTCAAGCAAAGATTCTATACATGCTGCATTTCTGTTAGCACCGTTATTGATATGCATATATATAGTATATAAATATAATTGTATACATTACGTTTGCACTGAAAATAAATTTCATACATTCTCTCTTTACTGATACAGTTGGTTTAGAGTTTATATGTATATACAGATAAGCCTGAGTGCAGAGACTTCGAAATAAGAATGTGGAGGCAGGGTAGGTGCTGGGGGGAAGGCTGGAATAAGCTGGCTCCATCTTGGTGCTTTCACACCACAGTGACTCATTTTGCCACCGTTCACAGATCCTGGCCCTGCTTGCAGAAGACACTGTCAAAATAAAATAATCCACATTCCATTCTTTCTTCAGAAACTGCCATTCGAGACAGATGGCAACACGCAACACCAGGCTTTTATCATGCTGGGGGTTTTTTATTATTATTATTATTATTATTATTATTATTAATGATAATAATAATTATAATAATATCATGAATAGACACAGTAGGAGAGTTGAAATTTAAATTCCAGGAGTTAATACTGCCTGCCAGGTATCTCTAAGATATGTTCACTTCATTTTAAAAATCCAGCCCACACACGGACTCTCAAGCCAACCGCAAATGATGAACACAATTCAGATCTCGGATGATTGGCGGAATCGCAGACCACCCACAGGAACTCGACTGGAGGCAGTCAAGGAGAGGGGCTCACTGTCAAACACTAAACGAATCAGACAGTTCTGCATCGTTAACGTTGTTTCACAGAATTCCCCCATACTTCATTGGTCACCCGAGTAGACCGTAACACCTCACTTTATGGTATGGATCTGGTAATGGTATGGTTTTTACATAGGCAGGAAATGGAGGTTTACTGGTCTAGCGTGTAGGCAGTGGGAGGCAAACTCCTCATTAAAGGAGAACACTTACAGTTCTATGGCCTTGTTCCACATTATGACGTATCCAGACAGGACGAAGGACTCGATGTTGACGATGTGAGTGTTCCCGCGTTCGGTGCCCACATACAGCCATTTACTCTGGAACGGCAGGTGGCAGAACGTGATGCTGGAAGTAACAGAGTTAAAGATACAGCGAATGAGGAGGCGGCATGTCAGCCTATAAGGCGTCCAGAGCAGACCGGGCGTCGGTGCCTGAGAGGATGAGGGACCCCGCTTCCAGTCAGGGTGGACTCTGATGGTTTGAAGAACTAAACATGCATGAGTTAAGGGCGAAAATTCTACGAATGGTCAACCTTCAGTAAGACAGAGGACCACACTGAACAAACGTAAGCGTTCAACCTTTCTAAATTTCAAGATCCAAATAAAAAAAGGCATGTTTCTTATATAACCCAAAGGCATGTATCAAAATAGACTTCATCATCAAGATTCATGTTCACTTGATACATATGTAATTGAGCTTTATCTCTAGATGACGCAATAATCCTGTTATAACCCAGTCAAGCTAATAAAAATCTCGTTAAACTTGTAATTAGCACATAAGTTACAATGAAGCTCAGGCAATATATATATATATATATATATATATATATATATATATATATATATATATATAATCTTTATATCAGTAATTAACATTTTACCTGGAAGGATAATAATCACAATAATCATTCATAATTCACTCTGGGATGACACTGCAGCTAGTTGATAAGCTTACATCATTGTCATCTTAACTCTGAAATAAGTTTCATACTTATAATCTTATACATTGTAAACAATACATTGTTTTAACCCTTTCAGGCTCAAATTGAGTTTTTGTTGCTAAAGGACAACCAAGACCTGCAGTGGTACTTTTGAGTAAAAAAAACGCATAAAATATGTATCTGGGGTAATAAGGTAGTTAGTTTTTAACTGTTGCAAATCAGCAACGCCTGCCTTGAGAGGGTTAACACAAGTGAGAAGCAAAGTGATATTAAAGACAAGTGAATATGTAATGACCAAGCATTACACATTGAAACACAAAAAAGGTTTTTTCTTTAGTAATGATTTATATTCACCATAGAGATATTGTCATACTTATTATACAAATACCTGTTAGTTTCTAGCCAAATGCTGCACACACACACACAGATAGATAGATACAAATATATATCCTGAATATTTTTTTTCTGTTCAGATACATAAATATACGTAGATAAGTATATGGTATGGTCATATACAGGTAACTGAAACTGACAACGTGCTGTGACTTGTGTGGAGGGAGTGTCATTCGTACTCCTGGCTCTCTGTGTGTGGAGTTTGCATGTGTGTGTATATGTTACATTGTGAGACCAGATGTCACCACAATGTAATAAAGTCCTGTCATTTTGACCTTGTGGGGATTTTTTTCGGTCACCTTACTAAAAATCTGTGACTAAAAAAAACTAAAAATGGCAAAGGTCTTTTATTTGGTTTGGTTACTTATGGTTAAGGTTAGGGCCAGGTAGGGGTTAAGGTTTTCATAGTTGTGATTAGGTTTTTTGCCCAAAGAAATGAATGGACAGTCCCCACAGAGATATCGATACCTAATCTGTATGTATGTGTGTGTGTGTATGCAAGGAAACATTACTAAGAGATCTGATGTATGTAGTACGTATGTAAGCATGTACCGTGTGACGGACTGCCATTACATCCAGGCTGTTCCCCTGCCTTACCCTGTGCTTCCTGAGATGATAAGTCATAAATCCTTCATTCGCCATTTGCACAAATACACAGCAGTTCTTCTCTTCGGCTACCCCATCTTGCTCTCTACAGCTTGAGGGTCACAGCACAGGGTCAGTCAACATGGCGTCCCAGAAGCAGGGGGGAGTAGTGGGTATGCACTGTATATAAAGCTTCAGACTCACCATGATGCTGACACTCTGGCTAATATACAGTCCTTTACACCATGAATATCAGGGGAGGTCCCAAAGCACCAGTGCATCGTAATTATTAACACCTATAATGTAATGAAAATAAACCCCACTCACACACTCGGTATAATGTATTCGGGGGTTCTGCCTATTCATCCTCCTGCCAAAAGAGGAGAACTGCCACATTAGATCAGTGAACTCCTGATACAGTTTCTTAGCTGTTTAGGTAGGACCGTGATGTAGGCCATGGGAACTAGATAATGTTCCTCTCAGGGTTCCGAGAAACACCTTTAAAACATCCTCATGTTTCTGAGAGGAAGACCTTGAAATTATCGTGAGAAAGGCCAACTCAGCACAAGATATGGGGCACCTTAAGGGAACTAATTAAAATGAGTATTTTATTATGATTGTCATACCAAGGTTTGCTCTTTTCATATCGTTTAACTGAAACGATAATTGAGAATTTTGGTTCCACAAAATGAATGCTACTTTTTTTATTTGTTCTTTTTTTCTACATATCAAGATAAAGTAGAATATTTTTGAAATGGATTTTAGGGCTGGGTGAGAAATATTGGAAAATCAAAACGTTCCATATTCATTATTCAGTTCTGTTATATTCAGTTTAATTCAATTTATTTTAGAAGGTGCCCTTCTCAACATGCTGTTCCAGAGAGCTTTAGATATACATATTTAAATATACATAGCATACTGTGCAAGTAGAAAAAGTTAGAATACAGCAGAGTGAATGATCAAAAAGCCCTTAGGTTAGGCAAGTAGCAATAAAAACCTCTAGGGGTGCAAGGAAACTTAAAGACACCATGCTCTCTATTTCACCAAAGTGTATTTAAAGGATATAAAACAATCACAGTGACACTTTCATTGCTGCCAAATGTTTTATAGGTCATTCATCCCGCCTGCATTTGCGATTAAATTGTCAGTGTGGTGAATCTGAATCCTTTTTGAAAGATCTGCTTTTTTCCCCTTCAAACAAATCGACCACTTAGACCATGAAACGAAAACATTGTGTTGATGTGACGTCTGCATCTGTTCTCCTTCAAACATAAGCTCTATTGTTGCTTCACATGGAGAAGGCCAGCATCGTTTTTAAGAGGTGTTCCATGGCTTGGGAGACATGAAAAGAGATTTCACATTGGACAATGGAAGGTCAGCCAAGATCGCTGCTTGATAATTGACCATGAAGGTTGGTCCTTCAACAAAGATTCAGAAATGACTTTACATGGATGTTTTAGTCCGTGGGGGAATTTTCGGTGAAAAACGCAGTAATAACAAGACTCAAATAAGCAGTGAACAATATATCTGCTTCAGACCTTGGAATGTATTCGGAATGTGTCCTTCTGAAAGTCAAATTTTATTAAGGTTCTCTCACCCATCACATTAATATCCAAAATAAAGGCATTACTGATTCAATAACTACATTATTATCGGCCACAATTTCAAAGCATTACCAATTCAACATTTTAATTCAATAATAATAAACTGTTTTAGTGAAAATAATTTTAACTATGTACAAGTGTAAACAATGCACTGACAAATTTTTCATTCAGTAATTTGTAGCAATGCCATTAAATAAGAATATTCAGAACATTCTTAAAATATTGCTTTGATTTCAATTCAACTCCGAGATCAGTGTAGTAATGTTTGACATATTTTTATGCAGGAGCTTAAAGGATCAATACATTGCTCTGTCTTTGGTCATATATATATATACAGTTGATGGTCACCCTTTTTGAATGGCTGGTCAATCTATGTGCTCGACTTGCCACATGAGCCTCTAATATGACATAGTGTTAAAGAGCTCACAGCACAGACATGTGAAGCATGTCAAACCCTGCCTTTGGTTTGAACGGCAGATCCAGTGAAGAGTAATGATGTCGAGAGAGAAGGGGAGTTTGAATGTTCGTGCTACTGGTCAGAGGAACACAACATGAAGTTGCGTTCATGTAAAGAATGCACAAGCCCAGAAGCATCCTGGGAAATCATTGTAAAATAGCAAGCCTTTTAGTAAAGACAGTATAGCCTGTTAATATACATATGAAAAGAGAGAGGTAAGGAGCATGCACTGATTACAACACACTGTCACACCCACCACCTCAGGGATGAGAACCTGAGTGCAGACATGTGACAGGTGATACTTCAGCACCACACTAGTCTGAATGGACCAGTGTGAGTTTTTTCCAGTGACTGGAGTGTCAATCCTGTCACCAACCCCCAATTTTTTTCCCTGTAAGTTGGAGGATCTCCTTATAGGGCTTGATGTAGATTAACATCATACCCAGGACAAAGCAATTGCAGGTCAAGGGCCTTGCTCAAGGGCCCAATGGAGGAGAACCACTCCAGGCATTCACGGGATTTGAACCAGCAACCTTCCAGTTGGGGGCACTGATCCCTAGCCTCAGAGCCAGCACTCCACCCCATACATATAAACAGACATTTAAAATAATCATAGCGCTTATGCAGTGCCTTTGAACAAAGAAACAGTTTTCAAATTGCAACATATAACAGTACAATGTATACATTAATTGTACAACACTGTAATATCTATATGTGGAAAACTCCCTATAACATAAACACATTTTTTTAACAGCAGAATAAGCTATTTTACAGAGTTTCCAAATTGCATAAAAACATACATTTTCATATTTAATTTTTCAAGAGTGAAATTTTGTAATTCTTATTCTCTTTTATATCAAATTTACTGAGTGGAATTAACATTTCTCTAGCCAAAATGGGCATACTGTCCTTTTTATAACTGTAATACGCCCTGTATAAAAAGGAAATTGGTAAAGCAACAGATATGAATGTAAAAATGGCAGAAAGAGAAAAAGCATTTGCAGTGTGTGAGCATGTGCACGTGTATGCGTGCTACTCACCACTCTCTGTTGAACTTGAGCGAGTGCAGGATAGCTGGACGCTTCTGCCGTAGGTTCCAGAGGTGCAGGGTGTCATCTGCACAAGCTGTGACCAGCGCCCCCTAGGGAAAGAAGGAGGGGTACGCACAGGATGGCGTGTCAATGAGCTGGCACAAAATCATTCATATAAAAATTCCATTCCAAACATTTGGAAAGCGACGATGCGGTCGCTTTCTAGGGAGTCTGTAATTAGTGTCTTCAAACAGCTGCTAATCAACAAGCCTCTTATCTTGCTAGTTAGCATATAGCACTTCTGTGTATGATTTCGGTAATGAAATAAAGTGTATGATTGCAGATCTTTGGAGGTTATAGCCTGCAAGTATACATTCTTGGCTGGAGGGGGGACTTGCTTTGGCTGTGTCAAGTTCAGGCAAGCAAACAGGGTCCAGCTGAGCCAACATTTACCCAAAGATTCTGTGTGTTTTAGCAGATTATGGAGTCTATGGGTCTTTACGTACAGGCCCAAGACCAAGAACAAGTAAACAATACAGTCCCACAAAGGGTATGAGGTTATTCAAATTTCTATTTTTAATCAGAAATTCTGTGAGTGGCCTGTGGAAATCTTATGTTTGTAAAAATTTGCTGATTGTTTTAAGTATAATTATTGTTTAAGTGATTTCACATGCTGTACCATTTGCATTATGTTGGAAAACATCTCTTTTATTTGATATCGTGTAGAGTGCAAATGCTGCCTTTCCATAAGTACAGCAGAACGGAGGGATTTATGGAGGAAGAAGCCTAAAATGAATCCGAGCACAGCATGGAGGAATCCTCACGAAGGGTTAGGCAGAGAGGAGAAGTCAGTGTCAGATTAGTGAGCATATTATCCTCCAGAAGCCCAGTAAATTAACAGGCAAGTCTCCTCATGCTCTTCAAGACCTGCCTGCACAGATATTTGTGTAAACACACAAAGCTGTGAGAACAGGGATGGGAATTCGTGAACGTGTTTAAGTGTGTTTGTGTACTGGTGTGGGATTTGGAATGTCACTTTCCGGAAATCCTAAAATTTATTTAACGATTATCTCCACGAAACCTTCTGTCATCTGCAATCTTAAGGGTGTTTAACCATAATCAGATTCAATGACATCACAATCCTGTTGTTTATGCATCCTGTTATTTTATCCATCCATCCATCCATCCATCAGTTTTCTGTACCAACTTGCCCAATGCATGGTTACAGGGGTGAAAGCTACGGATGCAAAGCAGGAAATAATACAAGACAGGGTTCCAACCCATAGCATAAACAGAAATTTACAGCGGAACAGTTTTTTGCACTTATAATTTGATTTAAGCATGTTAGTTTTGTACTCTCGGATATGATTAATTTAGATACGATCAATATGTTTACGTCAGCCTAGATTACGTATGCTGTTGTTATCGTAAACAACCTGAAATCTGATTTAATTATTAGGTTTAATATCATTTGCTGAAAAAAATCCTCCCCTGTCTTAATCACTGTCTCCACCAATCACTGCTCCAACTAGTCCAATGAGTCTCAGACACGTTCTCAGAGGTTTCCCACTATGGAGTCAGCTATATGGAACTGGTAGAAGGACATTGTCCAGCTTCATGGAGGTAAGAGAAGTAAGGATGCGGGAGGAATTTAGGGTGAGGAATGAGGTGTTTAATGACACCAAGAACAAACTCAAAAAGAAGAAAAACCTGGTTAAAATCTGGCATCCATTTCCCAAAAACCAATCAGTACCATGATAATTGCAAATAAGCCCCCAAGAATCAGTGTGGGAAGTAGGTAGAGGATTTTTTGTTTTGTTTTTGAAAATGTAGTTTATGGCACACAGGTCTGGAAAGAGAGATATCAGATATCTGATGCTTAAAAATCAACGGGCATCCTACTCTACGGTTATGGTAGATGTTTTCCATTAGATACAAAACTGATTGAAGTGAGATAATCCAGCTAGATAATGTTATGGCTGGGTTGTAGTTAATGGATATAGTCTAGGTTTAATGTAATGAGGGAAAGAGGATGCTACTGGAGAGATGAATACCCACAAGCGTCTGATTCTCATACACTGGCACAGCTCACAATGTCTTGCAATCTAGCGATATGTGATATAGCATTTTCATAACATTTTCACTCTGAATCAGGACACCATAAGATGAGATGTTTCATCTCTGTTGTTGATACTGAGTGGAAGGCCTGTAACTCCTCTGAATCTCAGGGGTCACGCTGGTGAAAACAAGGTTTCAAGACAGAGATGAGTCTAGCTGAGGTCCCAGGTGGCCATCATCCAGTTATTCGCATTACGAAGTTCAGGACCACGTTATATTATACAATCATATGTTGACATATTTCTGAAATCATACCTTTAGGCACATTTTTTTTTGTTAATTTGCCAAAGGCTAAAAGCGATTATGCATTATTAAATAAAGCTACTTTAATAGCCAGGTTCGACAATTTTAGAAAGTTTCTAGAACAAACTGTTCCCCATCGCATGTGCATATCTGTGCAAACAAATATGGTTTTGTAGTGAACACACTGCAGCATTTTACTCAGCCGTGCAGCCGGCACATCTCCATTACCCTGCAAGAGTGCCCCCACCTCCTATGGCTCCCAGACTGCCTTATAAAGTACTGCAGGTCCACATCTGCCAACAGCACGCTGACTCAGCATTTTGCAGTGTGTATATGTGTGTGTGTGTATGTGGGGGGGGGAGGAATCCGTCTCAGATAAATAAATGGCACATGACCCGGGGGTGTTCTGGGGTGCAATGGATTGGTTCTGCGTGCGCAGGGAAGCAGCCGGGGTGGCTGCAGCAAAGGGGAGGGGCTTTGAAACCTGTCACTCAGGTGGGCGGGGCCTCCCCTTGGCATCTCACCCAATCCAAATACAAACAACCAAACCAGCTGACGGGCAAATAAATGTTCTGATCTTTTCGCCTGCCTCTTTCACATATTCACATACCTCTTTTCTCAGAAAGACAGACTAATAAAAAAAATGTGATTTATAAGAAATGCAGTCCTATTCGACTGTTGTATTTCCACACTATCGTGCGAGGCCATCAATTTTCAGTGACATCTACACACATGAATAAGATTGTATTTATAGCACTTCGTCAAACCAGAAATACACCCTTTCTGTATCTGCCCCCTCCCTCACACTCCCCATTTCGGTAGCTTGTACCCCATAGTGTAGTCTAGTGGAACGCTGGGCAAACCGAGTATAAAGCGGTCCCCCCCAGGCAGCACGGATGAACCGTTTTCACTGGCAGGAATCACGCTAGCAAGGCTGCAATTACGGCTTGGCTCCAATTAGCTCACGCCGCCATTCCGTAATTAGCCCCTTTCCTTCCTGTCAGGATTATTAAGACATTGTTTATTCTGGCATCCTGCAGGCCAGCGCAGGCGGGGGGGGGGGGGCATGGCACCCCATGCCACAGCACAGTCATGCCTTCCTGGAAATATGGAGGAATGAAAAGCCATGGAGGAGACAGTATGGGGCGCTGTCCATCCCAGGTGGGTGAATCTTTTGTTATTTGTGTCTACCTGTTCCCCATTATGATGTCACTATATATGTCTGTTATGATTCTGTTGCCATAGTAACCCCAGATCACAGCCTTGCTTTATGCAAGGACCCAAACATTCATGCTTCAGGGTGCCTGAGCATGCGGCGTCTCTCTTTTCCTTTCCCCACCGAAGCAGCACTTTTAATATTCACATGATCTACGACTGCCTCAGTCCCCTGCTTCTGTATGCCCTTTAAAGGGGAAATCTCAAATGGAGCTCCTTTGCCCTGAAATGCTTGGGGCTTCCCACTTGCAGATACGGACTTCGTTTGGCGGCTTGGCTCCTGTCATGCTTTTCTTCCTTTAAAGGCCATTTGTTGCCTTCCCATAAACTGCTCCTCATACTTTGTCAATAGCCACTCTCCATGCCGTTTACAATGTGAGCTATTCAACCATTTATTACTTTTACGGCATCAGAAACACACCAAAGCCATTAAAGGCTAGTACAAGTGGGTTGACACATTGCATAAAGCATAGCCAGTGATGGGAGAAGTGAGCTGTCAGAACCCACCATTGACAGGTGCTGTGAGCTGTCAGTCACTGCCGGCTTTAACCCGATAGGCACCAACAGTAAATCAACAAACACTAAATTAGCCAATGAGATGGCAGATGGTGTCTGACATCATACAGTAATCTTAACCACCACTGGGGTTCAAAGCCTCATATCTTCCAACTACCAGTTGGTTTTAAAAGCCTCTTAAACAAGATGTAAAATCAGACAGAGAAATGCAATATGACAATTTAAGTAGAGCCGGAAAGGTTGTTGTCTTACTCTGCAGCCAAAAATAACATACGTGTTATTTTACACTTTTTCCAAAATAATTGCAATCATTAAAAAAATGAAAACACCAATTAACAGATTTCTAGTTCCAAAACAAACATTGAGATTTTACCTTGTTTTTAGTTAGTCAGCCATTAAATCATGTAAATAGATACACAGAAACAAGGACGGATCCTGGCAAGGACAGGGTGAGAAATTGCCCAAGGTAGCATATTCTGAGGGGGTGCCAACTTAGCAAACCCAGTCACCCCCACCCCCTTTGGGTCAACAAAGGTGAAATTGGGCGGTGAAGTTTCTGGGGGGGGGTTGAAACTTGCCAAGGGCTTTGAGCACCACTGCATAGAAACATGCTATAACATTTTAGAAAAGAAACATATGTATGTACAGTTTTGGGCGAAAGGAAATGTGCGACACTATTTATGTGGGTACTGAGTCATTATTTGCTCAATAAAAACACCATTTAACATAAAAACATATGCAAATAAAGAGCAACAAGGAAAACTAAAAAGTTTCTTGTCATTTTCGATACTGATATCTCGTTGGAAAGCTAGATAAACACCGCTTCAGTTCCCAAACCACTCCTCAGAAGCAGACCAGCCATTACAGGTACTCGATAAATTTCATCACCAGCTCACTTAATTAATTAATTCAGTTATTTAAAAAAGTCAATGAGGTATTGATTAGCCATATGAGCTGTGTTAGTAATCAAGTCAAAAAATGCATGTGCGTAATGGGCGGCTGCTGAAAAACTGGGGTCACTTTAGGAGAGGTTTTATACCAACACACTTTGGGTTTACACCGACATGAAGATCATTTAAACATCATTTTCATTGACTGCCTAAGATGTTTGCAGAGTAGGCCTTTTGTATGCATTGTCGTATTTATGCATGCATATGTGCACACATGTATAAATGTGGTGCTTAATTGCTCCTTAGCTATTTCCCAACTCATTCTGTGACGCTCTGTTGATTAATGAAGTTAATTATAACGTGAATCCATTGAGCTTTCGATGCTAAATGTAGGCCGCCATGCACACTGAGCCTGAATGGTGCGTGAGCCTCGCGCTTTTCTTCATTAATAAAAACCGGGTCACCAGGACAGACGAACGGCAGCTAGTGACAAAGAGCACAGTGTGAGAGAGGCGCCTCTGCTGTTCCTCTCGGCATACTACTGTGCTAGCTAGCCTCCATCTTCCCTGTTGACGAGAGACCCTGGGGTCCTGTGTTGACCTAATAACCCCACAATCATTAAAAAACAGCCTGCCGGACTGATACTAAATATTTTATTTCTGAGCTGATAATAGGCAGTGTGTGGTTCCCCAGGTCAGGGATTCATGCGTAGAAAGTTACTGGTTCAGAATAATCATATTACGGTTTGACTTTACAGTAAGACCCATAAGAATCCATTCGTGGGAATTTTACTTACACAAAAATGTTCTGAGGGCAGAAGGAACAATTATTTATTCAGAGAGATAACCTATCAGATTGTAGAGGAGGTGGGTCCAAGCAACTAGAAGAGGTGGGACCAAGATATCTGACTGGTTGGTCCCTCCTCCTCCAGTTGCTTGAACCCACCTCCTGTACAATTTGATTGGCTATCTCTGAACCAATAATTGCTCCTTCTGCCCTTAGAAAATTTATGTGTAAATAAAAATTCCATGAGCTAAGGGTGCCGTCCAATCCATGAAGCAGCACAGGTGTCGTCTTCTGAGGGGCCTACAACTTCTCAAACCTCCAGTGTCACTTGCCTGCAAAGTTTCACCTCCAGTCACCCCCCCCCCCACCCCCAAGTGTGGAGCATGTAGAGCGCTGGCTGTGACAAAGTGACATGCTTGTCTACTGAAGCTTGCCTAAGGTGTCACATGGGCACTGGCCCTTAAGCCCCACTGCTACAGGGGTGCAGAATAATTGGTTGACCCCATGCTCTGACCCCAAGCTCTGCTCTCCACTCTGTCCATGTGTGTGTGTGTGTGTGTGTCTCCCAGGGAGCTGGGATATGGACAGCCAGAAGCTTCATCGCACTCTCTACCCATACAATGACCATAATCTGCTCTGTCATTTGCGGAGGAACCTTCACGTTCTGCAAAGGCTGCTTATTTCCTTAAGCATTCTGATGGCGTCCATCAGATACGGCGACAGGGGAATCGAAGCGGTAATAAGTGATGCTGCGGGGTCACCGGCGGGCCCCAGCTGACACAGCGTATATCACCGGGTGCATTATCTCTAAGCCTGGCCAGCGCGGCCTGCCCCAGGCCGGCCTGACATATCCTGCTGTAGATAAAAGGATGCTGGCGAGGGGATGGGACGTGGAGGACAGACGGATGCATCAGTGATTACTGCAGGGCACTGCCATGAAACGAGCACTTAAGCATGGGGTGCTGTCATATGCCGGCCTACATGGAAAATAAAAGCATAAATAAATAAATTCACACATGCATATTATATCCATAAAGAAAAGGACTGAGAAGAAATAAACATGTTCGTACCGTGGGGGTGGTACGGAATGTTATGGCTTTTGACCTTCAGCAATCTGGAAAATGAGGAGCGCAGTGCATTCTGGGAGATGGTCGCGGGCGGTGCATCAGTCCATTTCTGCCTCTGCTAGGCGTATTTATCTCATGTTAAAGTCACATTAATATGGGGTGAAATGCAACGGCTGCTGGAACATCAGCTCTCACAAGTGCCGAAAGACAGCAAATCTGAATTTTCAAGCTAAAGCCATTCCAGGTTTAACTGGAAAACTGAAAATAACCAGAATAACTATATATTAGCCATCAATCCTGTACCATCATCAATCTATTTTCAATATTTCAATGAAAAATGTGTTATAAGAGAAATTTAGAGAAATTATTGTTGTTACGATTGAAATCATTATTATTATTGTGCGATTCAATTACTGCTAGCATATAATAGTTGCTCATTTTTGCTGTTACTGCAGTTGTCGTTGTTGTGGCTGCTGCTGTTCCACTGGACCTTCTCCCTTTCCACTAGGTGAGTGCAGACTTACCCTGCGCCTGCTGACCCCGAGCAAGGACCGCCAGTCAGGCAGCTCCAGCTCATTTCCATGAGAGGCATAGGGAGCGCGAGATGGGCACATTGCACCCTGGCCCTGACAGGTGTTTTGCGGCGCTGATTTGTTGCTGCACAGCCGCACATCTGCATGACGATGACTGCGAGGCCTAGCAGATGTGGCTCGCAGGGAAGCCATGTGCGTGTTTTATGACCTGAGATATCGCATGCTGCAGTAAAATAGCGCAGGACAGCTACACACATAGTCCGGTCATTAGTCAGTGATACAAGAAGGCTGCGAGGCATTAATCTGCCAGGTAACAGCTGGCACCAGTGCAAACTTACATCGACGACTACAAATGAGCCTCCATGTAGAAGCTTCACCATGTGCAACACATCTGACCTTAAACGCTCATCTGTCAGCTAGGCCAGATGAGGCAGTGTGACGTGCAAAATGACACTCTCGTAACACGACTCTCCCACTAGCCCGTGACGGCAAATAACACGAGGCGCCCCCTACCTCATTGATGAGGAACTGTAGCTGAAGGACAGCAGCTCCGCTGTCATGCTGGCAGTAGCAGTCCACGCCTGGTCGTCCCAATCTGATGATGTCATCAAGTCAAGGAGGTCAGACAAAAGTCTCAAACAGCACCACGTTGGGGCAATAATAAGCTTAATAACACACCACAGAATAAAACCTCAATACTCAAAAAAAAAAACATTATATATTATATGAAATAATCCGCCTATGCATTTTGGTTATATATTTTTAAAATTAACATGCAAAAGTCAAATCAAATGGGCCCAAACCAATGTCATTTAATTACCACCACTGACAGCTTCTGTTAATTTTAAGGTAAAATGGTTAATGTACCATTAAATAGGTAAACTGACATGCTTTGACTTGGAAATCAAACGGTTCCCAGAGCTTGCAGGAATCACATTAAACAGCCATTCGATTAATCCAGACCCCTTTTATAATCAACTCTAGCATGAAAAAGCTTTCTCATACTTCTAAATACTGGTCCATTCACAGAGCAACCCAGTTTGAGAAAAAAAAGCAGTGCAGAAAAAGGCAGAAGATGTTTGGAATTCAATCCCCTGAATGCCACAGAGCAGAAGTAAGGGCTCGTGGGTCACAGCTTTAGAGGCCCATAAGGTCTATTTAAAGCTGGCATGAGTCACTAGGAGTGTGAGACGCAAAAAAAAGAAAAATCCCCCAACTGTCAGACGGCTTAAGATCAACTTTTTCAGTAAAAAGACAATTCTATGTCCCAGCTTCCTTGGGGATTCACACAGATAAGGAGAATGGCCACTTGTCTGTCCTCCCAAGTTAGCAAACCATTAAAAAAAGAAACAGGCCAACTTATCAGGCACAGAAATGGTCAGTCATATGAAAAGCACGCGGCGTCGCCATCCAGCCATGACACGGCGTACCTGCATTCACACAAAAAAACTTCATTTCCACAATCTTTCGCTTGCAAGCAAATATACATTTTCTAAAGTGGGATCACATCGCTCAGTCTCAATGTTGTTTTCGTTGATTAAATTCACAGATATAAACATATTAATTAACAATATCACTGAAAATCGTCTTAGGAGAATCCATCGCATATCTGCCTCTGGGATATCAGTCACAGTGTAGGGCACGTCCACGCTGTACCAGGCTCAGGATTAGCCATTAAAATACAACGATTATTGCATCCCATCTCACGGCGCTGCTGATAAGTAATATGCAGTGTTTGCCCAATTTCATTCAGAGGGATTACATAAGGGCCCCATCTTAGACAGTCATTTTTAAAAAACGGCTAATCTTTACAACTCACTCAACACACAGAATAACATAAGTGACTTATAAAAGGACTTGCGCGTTAAGACTCGGGTGTTCCTTAGTACTAAAACCGGCTGTAATAGGACATGTAATACCTAAACAGAGTGAGCGCCATCAGCTCTGAGACGTCGATTTCTGATTATACCCGTATTCCGCACACTCCTCACTGCTAAGCAAAACGCTTAAATCACAAGACTCCATGGAAGGAACATTCATATCATCAGCAGGTACATTATGCGATTTCTCTCAATATCCAGCAGTATTACAGTATGAAGCAAAGTAAGAAAAAATAAGCCTGCAATATATATCCAGTTACATAACCAGAAAATCAGGCGAGGGAGCGGGCTTATGTATATTATTGTACATTTTAGCAAGACTGAAGTGAAAAAAAAACCTTGTTTATTGTATAAATATTTGGATCAGTGAACTTGATTTTTTGGCGGAAGAGTGTTTTGACAGAAAGCATAGCAATGATGTCAGCGCAACCCTAAGAACTCTCATCCATTTGGCAATCATGCTATGATATTTCTGACAGGGTCAATTTGAAGATAATCTATGATGGATATCCATCAAATATAATAGTGTCCAGAACGTAAACCAAAGGGATACAATGTCATCATGAAGACTGAGCAGACCGTGCTTTTGGGGACACTTAGTGACTTCCGTTTTCTGTGTACCCTTCCACCTCGATATTTTATTTTTTTCTGACTTAGTTTTAAAGCTCTGCATTAAATTCACAACCTGACCCAGGACATTTCATTTGACAGGGATGGATGTTTGGAAATGAGATGAGAATTAAATGAGAACACCTTTACAGCATGTAGACAGAGGTCTTTCGGATAATTCTGTGGCTCATTAAGTTCTGAACCGTAAATTAATTTAGGATCATCAAAGCAAAGGTTTTAAGTACTTTTCTGGTCATAAGAACATAAGAACATAAGAACATAAGAAATTTACAAACGAGAGGAGGCCATTCGGCCCATCAAGCTCGTTTGGGGAGAACTTAGCTAATATCTCAGAGTTGTTAAAATCTTATCTAGCTCTGATTTAAAGGAACCCATGGTTTTAGCTTCCACTACAATAGCAGGAAG